TTTTTTTTTTTTTTTTTTTTTTTTCTGTTATTCTTTAATCATAAAAGAATAAAAAAAAAAAAAAAAAGAAAAGAAAAATTAATTATATTCTTTACCTATATTACATATATATGTATTCAAGAAATAATGAATTATGTGCTAAATTAAAAATATATATTCTTTTTTAATATGCTTTATTACTTGAAAGATGAAATAAAAAGAATGAAATTAATCATACAAAAAATGAGTAGATAATTAAAAATACAAATGAATGAGTGCAAAAAAATTAAGAAACATGTGAAAAATGCTATAAAAAATGTAAAAAACACAGTAAAAAATGTGAAAAATATTGCAAAAAATACATGAAATATTATAAAAAGTGTAAAAAATATTATAAAAAATATTGATATAAAAAACATAAATAATTTAATATATCAAAGTATTTTTTTTTTTTTAAATATGATAATTTAAAAAAGTGATAATATATTACATTATTCTTCATAATATATATAATAATAATTTACAAAGTTTCTTATTCCTATTTTATCTAAGAAATTCCTCAAAAATATTATGCATAATAATTTATTAACTATATAAATATATTTAAAAAAAAAAAAAAATAATTTGAATATATTTTTATTTAATACTTTTCTCTTTCTTGAAATAAAATTTTAAAAAAATTATTAATTGAAAAAAAAAATTATTTTTTTTTAAAACATTATCCATTAAGTATTACATCTGCATACATTTTTTAGAATACTCAAAAGTTACCTATGTATTTAAACGTATTTAAAGAAAATGTCTGTTTTATTTAACGAAAGTGAATTATCTGGTTTAGATGCTCATAGTGCCTTTGGAAATAGTGAAGCTTCTAGTAATCAAAAAAAAAAAAGAAAATTAGATGAAAATTCACATATAAATAAGAATAGTGTAGTAGAAGAGGAAGTGGAAGATGAAGAAGAAGATGAAGAAGAAGAAGAAGAAGATGAGCCATCATATGTTCAAGATGAAAATATGGCTAAAGTTTTTGAAAAATTTTTAAAAACATTTTCTGAAAAAAAAAGTGAAGAAGATGATGATGATAATGTATGGAAGGATAATTTAAATTTTGATTTTCCAAGTAGTTTAGAAATAGCAAAAGATGCTCATTATGTATTATTATTATTTTCAATTCTTCAAAATTCCTATTCGAGAAATAAAGTTTTAGTAGTGGATATGAAACATGTACTGATGTGGGAACCAACTGACAAAAATCGTTTTGATATAGGAAGCCAATTATATATGTATATAAAAAGGCATTTTTTAAGAATATTAGATATATTTGAGCAAAAAGTACAAAATTTAGCGGAAAATATCAATCCTATAAAAACAAAAGAAGTTGGAAAAGTATGCCTTAGATTTTATAATAAAAAAAATCCTATACATTCTTTAAGAAGTTTGAGATGTGAAATGCTAGGGGAAATGATAAGTGTTCGAGGACAAGTAACAAGGACTTCTGATGTTAGACCTGAACTAACATTAGCAGCTTTTAAATGTAATGAATGTGGAAATATAATCAATGGTGTTAAGCAGCAATTTAGATATACGCAACCAAGTAAATGTCCTTCAGCTAGCTGTAGTAATATGTCTGACTGGTCTTTGGTTTTAGAACAATCATATTTTGTAGATTGGCAAAAAATAAGATTACAAGAAATTGCACAAGAAAGTCCACCAGGTTCTATGCCTAGAAACATGGACGTAATATTAAGAAACGATATTGTAGATACTGTTCATGCAGGAGATCGAATTATAGTAACAGGATGCTTAATTGTAGTCCCTGATATTCCAACTTTAATGAAACCAGGAGATATACCTCGAAGTGTAGCTAGACAAATGTTAAGAAAAAATGAAAATTCTCTGGTGTCTCAGGGATTAACAGGAATAAAAGGTGTAGGAGTTCAAGATTTGAACCACAAATTATGTATATATGCATGTCAAATAGAAAAATTAAACAATTCTAAGAAAGAAAATTCTTTTGATGAACAAACTCAAGTAGATATTAATTGTGAAGAAATTCTTAATTGTGATGATTTGAAATGGTTAAGAGAGATTGCTATGCATCCCAATACAATAGATATATTAGCAGAATGCATTGCTCCGAAGATATGGGGAAACCTCGAAATAAAAAAAGGAGCATTATTAATGATGACAGGAGGTGTTCAAAAAATTACATCTAATTGCAAATTAAGAGGAGATATCAACATGTGTATTGTAGGTGACCCAGGTACAGCTAAAAGTGAAATTTTAAAATATGTCGAGAGTTTTGCTCCAAGAGCCATTTTTACTTCAGGAAAAGGGTCAACTGCTGCCGGTTTAACTGCAGCAGTTCATCGAGATCCGGATCAAGGGGATACAGTTTTAGAAGCAGGAGCCTTGATGTATGCTGATCAGGGTATTTGTTGCATAGATGAATTTGATAAAATGGATGAAAAAGATAGAGTAGCTATTCATGAAGCTATGGAACAACAAACTATTTCTATTACAAAAGCTGGTATACAAGCTACTCTTAATGCTAGAGCCTCTGTTCTTGCTGCTTGTAACCCCAAATATGGAAGATATGACTCTTTAAAAACATTTGCTCAAAATGTTAATATCCCTGCTCCTTTATTATCACGTTTTGATTTATTTTACACAATGCTTGACACTGTTGATATTGATAAAGATACTAGTATCGCTAATCATTTAGTATCAATGCATTGTGGGGAAGAAGCAGAAAAACATCTTAAAACTCATGCAGGAAAATTAGATTCTGTAAAATTAGAAATATATTTAGAACTTAGCAAAAGAGTCAAACCATTATTAACAGATGAAGCAAAATATAAATTAATACATTATTATGTTTCTTTCAGAAATATTGAATATTCCCCAGGAGCTCAGAGATCTATGAGAATGACTGTTCGTCAATTGGAATCCCTTATTAGACTTAGTGAAGCTGTTGCTAAATTAAAATTTTCTCATTTTGTTGATGTCAAACATGTTGAAATTGCATGTTCTATTTTTAAGGCTTCTATGAAAAAAATATCAAATGAAAAGGAAATCAATTTAGATGAAGAATATGACAAATCTAATAATTCATTGATTCATAATAAATCAAATAAACAAGATCAAGATAATGATAAATCTGAACAAACTAGAAAAATAACAACAATCAAAGCAAGTGAATATCAATGTATATCGGCTATAATCTTTGAAATTATTAAAGAATACGAATTTAATAATAACAATGAGAGTATTACACAAGATCAATTAATAGAACTATATTTGCAAACTTATGCTAAAGCAGAATCTAGTGAGCAAGTAGATGAATGGATTTATAAATTAAAAAAAATTATTAACAGATTAGTAAACCAAGATATGAAACTATTATCAGAAACCGATGAGCAAGAACCTACTAATATTATTTTAAGAATTCATCCGAATTATGCAGGTCCAATAATGGAAAATGTATCCAATAAAAATACGTATGGATATAATACATTCAAGAATTATCAAAGTAAAGATAAAATATCAGAGGATGATGTAGACTTTCAGGAAGATATTGACAACTTTTAAATATTTTTATTAATTTATCAACTTATTTATCATATTTTATATTCTTTTAAACCATATGTATTGTTGAATGAAAAAAATGGGAAATTAAATACAATAAAATGATTCTAAGAATGAGAATATTATTTTTAAAATTTATATTTATATTCGATTAATATAAAATTCTTTTTTTTAGATATGTATAATCTTTAAAAAAGAAAATATAAAACTGTTTTTTATTTTGAAATATATGAACAAAAAGTTTTCATGATTACTATAAATATAAAAAAAAAAAAAAAAAAATATCAAACCATATCAAATAAAGTGAAATTGTATTACATTTACATTTTTTAATAATATACGTATGCATTTAAATCGTTGTATATATGTATTCAAGTTTGTTTTTAAATAGTAACCATTATATATACCAAAAAAAAAAAAAAAAATATATATTATAAATTATTTAAAATTATAAAGGATTTTTAAAGTTTGTGCATACTTTTTATACAAACTAAACTGTAAAAATGCATTTCAGAATTATATTTATGCATTTTTTTCAGTAACGAATAAACCTATATTTATATTTTTCTAACTTTTTTTTTTTTTTTTTTTTTTCTATTTTTTATTCTCTCTCTATATATATAATTTTTTTATGATTAATTTGTATCATTAAAATATGATGAAATTTTATTATATACATAATATTTTTTTAATTTTTTATTATTTCAAAAATAAATATAATTTTTTTTAATGATATATATATAAATAGATAGATAGATATACAGAATTTTTTTTATGAAAATTTTTTTGGTTATGTAACTTTTTAATAATCGTATGAACAATACAATTTCATACTTATATTTATTAATAAAAAACACATAATAAATATTAGATATACATTAAAAGGATAAGAAAATTTTTGAAGTTCATTAGAAAGCTATATATTTTTACTTTTTTTTTTTAAAAATTTTAATTTATTTTTTTTTCTTAAATTTTCAATATTACTTAAAAATTCTTTTTTTTTTTTACACTGCTGGATGCTTTCATTAATTTTTGATAATTCACTTGTTTTCAAGGTGTCATTTTTTTGATTAAGAGGTAATATACTTCTTAGTTTGACGTTAGAATTTTCAGATATTAATTTTTTTATATATGCTTTTTTATCTAAATCCGTTTTTAATAATCCCCAATCAAAGTAAGGTATATTAATAACTACATAACCTAAATCACTTAGGAGTTTGTGTTTTAGCTTTGATAATGAAGTATAACATTTGGTATTTTTATAAAAGTGATTTTCTCCATTAACTTCTATTATTATTTTTTTTTTATTTTTACAATTTTTTCCTTCACTGTTGAAGTTATTAATTTCTTTATTTAAGATGTAATTTTTTCCTGTGTAATCTGAGTCCACATTATTTATGCTTATAGTGTCTCTTGTATCAGACATATTTGAAATATTTGATGAATTTTCAATTTTTGATAATTCTTTTTTTTTGTTAATGAGATAATTTTTTGGCATATTATAAGTGGTTTCATCTTCTTCAACAAAATCAACAACATAAGGACCTATGGGTACTTCTTCTAGTGTATTTAAATTAAAAGTTAAAAGAATATTCTTTACACTTTTTTGTAAATCTGATTTAATGTGATATTCTATACTTTTGTCCTTATTTTTAATGTAATTTATATATTCTATGCATTCAACATTTAAATTATTATATACATTTGGAACATGTTGGGTTCTCAATGATAATTCACATATTTTTAATTGAGTTAAATAAATATTATCTAAAATTATATCATATTTTATTAAATTTTTAATTATTAAATTATATATATCTACATTTTCGAAGGAAAAATAACATAAACTTAATAATAATTTTATTAGCAATTTATAACTTATTTGATGTATTACATTTTCATTTATAATATAATTTATATCCTTAATTAAATTTTCTTCATATATATCTAATTTAAACAAACAATATAATATTTTTATTTTATCACTTACATTAATAGAAGCATTAAAATAATAATTTTTTACTTCTTTATTTGATTCATATATCATTTTATTTAAATCGTTTAATTTTTCATTAATATCTATTTCATTCTTTTTACTAATGATGCTATCTGATGATGAATAACCATGATTTTCAGATTTAATCTTATTTGTTTGCTCTATTAAATGCTTTTCAATATTCTCTGTGTTTTTTGAATTACTTGTATTATTATAATTATTAGATTTGTCTTCTGAAATATAAACTTCTTGTTCTTTATTAGAGATATGAGCAATTTTATCTTTTCTTAAAAGACAATTATTTTGTGAAAATAAATGAAATAATAAAGACGTAATTACATTATTTTTTCTATATTTATGTAATCCATATGATTCTAAAAGAATAATTAAGCTATTTGAATCATATAATTGATCATTCATATTTTTTAAAAATATGGAATCAAATATTTCAATAGTTTTAGAAGGAAATAATTTATTTTTTGCTAATAAGTAAAAAAAAACTATTAAATTAGTTGAAAATTGCAAATAATTTTTGAACGTATTTAATATACTTTTATAGAACATATGATGGTCTAACTGCAAAAATAAATAGCATTGCATTATAAAAAAAATTTTATTTACTAAATTATGATCGATATAAGCGGAATTTTCATTTGTTTGAAGAAATGCATTTTTTAAATGATATACAACCTCATTTAATAAACTTAAGTGAATATATTTTAAATCTCGTAAGCTTTTACTAATACTAAGTAATATTTCTAAAAGAAAAATCTTTTCATCACTAATAGATGTTACATTATCAATTTTATTATTATACAAAATAGGATTATTTATATTATCATTTCTTTCGCTTTTTTTTATATTTGTGACTATTTCATTTTTTACAATTTTTTTATTTTTGTCTACATTACTACCATTTTTTTCATATATGCATACATCTTTTAATCTATTCTTCATTGTAGTTTCATTATAATAATTACTTATTTTTTTATTTAGTTTATCTTTATTCCTTATATTATTTGAAAGTATTTTAATCTCTTCACAATTTCTTTTCTTTAAATTAAAAGAATAAGAATTATCTTTATGTAAAATAAATAGCTCTTCAAAATTATACGTTAACTTATCGCAAATAACTTTTATTAAAGGCCAATTTAAGCGTTTCAAATTTTTAAATTTTAAATCGTTTTTAAGAATATTTATTTTGCTAAAAATTGAAAGGAAACACACAAGATCATTTATTTTGTATTCATCAGTTTTTATAAAAGAAGAGCATTTATTCATATATGAATCTAATATAAAATTATCAATTAATTTTAAATTAATTAAAATATTCATTGTATGAATTAACATTTTACATGTATATAAGTAGTGTATTTTCAACTTTATGTTATTTAAAAGGTTTAAACAAATTTTATCATAATAATTACAAGGAAAATGATCTTGAAAATAAAAAAAGTTTTTATTAAATAATACTAACATTAATAATAAATTTTCAATAGAAGCATCATTACTTTTTAGTGTTATTTTTAGAACTAATTTTTTAAAAGTTTCTAATTTTATTTTTTCTTGTTCTAAAAATTTTTTTAAATCTCCTTCTAAATTATTGTTTATTTTACTTGAATCTTGTTCAAATGTTGTAAAGAACTTCTTTTTTTCAATTTTATCACATTTTTTACTAAATAAATATGTATATATAATTCCTTTGAAAGGTGTATTCAAATGTATTCTATTCTTTTTTTTTATAAAAAACATACTTTAAAAAATGTAATAGTCATTTTTTTTTTTTTTTTTTTCCTCTTTATTGAATATTAAAGATTTGAAATATCCTAATATAAATAAGTTAAGTATAATATATTTATATATGCATAATAACCCTACCCCTTATATTTTTTAGTTAGTGAAAAAATCCTTTTTTCCTTATAAAAATATAAAATATATATTTTCTTTATTAATGTATAGTAAAAAAAAATTTCGCGTATAACTCTAAAATGAAAAATATCAATTAATCCTTTAACATTGCCTTTTTTTTCATAATGTCAACTTTTTTTGTTTCTCCTATATTTAGCGTTTTTGTCTCTTTAATTTCTCCTTTTCTTTTTTTTTTTTTTTGAAAAAAACCCTTAAATGTATTTAAAGTTTTTTTCGTAATTTTTTTTTAATTACATTACATTCATAATTTTTTTTATTTAAAATGTTATATATATATGTCATTTTAATAAGTAATAAGGTTACAATATATTTTACGTAGTAGTCTTTTCATAATTATATCAACCTTCAAAAAAAAATTGAAGAATATTTTTAATAAAATTAATAGAAAGTATATTTAAGATTTTCTAACCATATAACTTTTATTTTTCTTTTTCTTGTATGTTTTATAGTATAAAGATTAAATATTTTTAAAATAAAAATAAGAAACAAAATACAAAAATTAAACTTTAAATAAAAAAAAAAAAATAATAACAAAAAAATAAAGTTAAAAAAAAAGAACAAAACTAATTTTTTTTCATAATTCTATTTCCTAATAGCAATACATAAATAAAAACCATATTAAATATATAGAACTTTTTTTAATTTATAACAAAAATTAAAGTCCTATAAACACCTGAAGTTTATTTTTATTATTCCACAGTTTTTAAAAATATTAATTTTTTTTTTTTTTTTTTTTTTTTTGTTTTTTAAAGAAATTTTTTTACACTTAGAACTTTAGCCTTTAAACTTTAAGTGCATTTCTTTTTTTTTTTTTTTTTTTTACATGAAAATTTTCTTTTTTTTTAAGAACAATTTTTTTTTATTTTAAAAACGGTTTTTTCCTATATATACTTAGGAACTTTTTTATTTTTGTGTTCTAAAGGAATATTTTCTTATTATTTTTGAGAGTCCTTATTTTTAATTTTAATAAGATTTTTCTTTATATTTTTTGTATATAATTTTTTAAAAAATTAATATTTTTAATAAAATTACAATATATTTCTTTATCTTTTAAAATATTATAAAATAAAATTAAAACATGAAAATTTTTATTTTATTTTCTTTTTTAATGAAATGTATAAAATAGAATATAAAGAAGATAGAGGAAAGTGCGTAATTGCTGTAAATCAAATTAGAGCAGGTTATTGTATTGTAGAATCTCACCCTGAAATATTTATACCATTATGTGTTAAATATATGACTCCACGAATTATAGATGCAGATAATAAAAAAAATAATTATAAAATAATAAATATATGCTTTTACTGTTTTGAAAAATTTAATAAATGTATATATTGCCCCAATTGTAAATATGTTGTATATTGTAGTGAAATATGCTTAGAACGAGCATGGAAGTCACACAGAGAGGAATGTGATATTTTTAAATCAAATATTTTTGATAGATACTGTCCATCTATAACAATGAGATTAGTGATTAATTGTTATTTAAATCATTTTAATTTTTACGATTATTGTGGTAGTATTACAGAATTGACAAAAGAAAAATATGAGAAATTTAAATATCCTGCTTATATTGTAGCAGTAGCACTTATGAGTAAAAAAAAAAAAATATTTCAAAATTTTGAAGATAATGAAAGTATTCTTAAAAATATAATTGAAAAATTTGTAAAAATATCTAAAAACACTTTACAAATAATTGATAACGAGCTAGAACCAGCTGGTTTAGCTTTTTATAAAAAACCAGTACCTTATTTTAATCATTCTTGTTTAAATAATTGTGTTACTATATTTAAAAATCAAAAACTTTATATAAGAACATTAATGGATATATATCCAGGAGAAGAATTAACCATAAGCTATATTGATATAGCATTCGATAGAAATACAAGATTGTCAATATGTTTAGAGCAATATTTTTTTACGTGTTCATGTAAATTATGTAAAATAAATATTCCTTCTGAATGTCATAATATTTTTAATACTGAATTTATTTGTACAAATTCGGAAAATTGTAAAAAATTTTTGAGTTATATGGAAGTAGTGTTAATATCTGAATTAGAACATAAGCAGTGTTATGTTAATAAAAATGATTTTAAAACATATCCAATTTTAAAAAAAACTAATGAAAACGTATGGAAATGTATGCTATGTAAAGCTGAAGTACATGATAATATAATAAAAAGTCTTTTAGATAAAGAAAAGGAGACAGTTAAAGAAACTATATATTTAGAAACATTGTTTAACGAAAAATATTCTTATGATAATAAAAGTGTTTTACAATCTTTAAATAAAATAAAGTCAAAAATTGATTATTTAACTAATTTTTATCATCATGCTAGATATTCTTTGCAAAAAATGAGAGCTAAAATTTTATATATATCTATACAACTACAAGAATTTAAATTAGCATATAATATTGCAAATCAATACTTGAAATCAATAGAAGTTTCATATGGAAAATTTTCTCCAATATATGGATATTATATTTTTTTAACAGGAAAATTAGCTTTGTTTCTTGATTTGAAATCAGAAGGTCTAAGTTTAATTCATAAAGCAAAAAAAAATATCATAAAGACTTACGGAGCTGATTCTCCTTTATATAGAGATTTAGAAAAATTTCTTTACACAAATAAATATTAATTGAACTTATTTATATATATATATATATATAAATATATAGAATACGGTATTTTTAAAAATAAGCTTAATAGAAAAAACTAATTTATATATTTATAAAATAAGAATTTATCAGAAACTTAAAAAATAAGGAAAATTTTGCTTAGTATTACTTTTTTTTTTTCTAATAACCATAAAATTTTTTAGTTTAAACAGTTTAAGCTTTTTTTTTTTTTTTTTTTTCTTCTAAGAATTTTTAAAAAAAAATGTGAACATTAGTTATTTTATATACTTCATATTTTTATAATTTTTAATTCCTTTTAAGATTTTTGTATTTGAAATTTTTTTTTTTTTTTTTTTGAATATAATTCACAAAATTGTGTGTATATAAAAATGAAAAGAAAATTAAAGTAGGTTGAACTTATTCATGTTTTTGTAATTTATCAAAAAGTTTTACTTTTTAGACCTCAGGAAATTTTCAATTACTATAATTATAAATTAATATTTAATTATGTGGAACATTTTTTAAAGGAAAAATAAATTAATTTTTTTAATGGAGAATATTAAGAATTTTATGAGAGAAGGCAAATACAATTATTTGTATTTTTTATTCATTTAAAGCATATATGATTATTTGCTTTATTGAAATTATTATAATTTAATTTATTTTTAAAATTCATAAATTGTTTTTAATTAAAATATATTTATAAAGCAAATGTAGCCAAAAAATTTAAAAAAAAAGAAAAAATTACAACAATGTAATTTTAAATTACAACAATGTAAATTTAAATTACAACAATGTAATTTTAAATTACAAGAATTGCAGTATTACAATAAAAAATTTTATTTAACATTTCAAATAAAATAACTAATAACCTTAAAAAATAGAAACATTAACTTAAGGGTATATTAATTTTTTTTTCAATTTCTTTGAATGAATATGCACAACTACAATATTGATTACTCAAAAAATAAGAATAATTAAATTTGTTTCCATTTAAAAATAATGGATTTACATATGAAATAAAATCATCTAATAACAAAATGTCAATAGATTCTTTTACTTCGTTATTTTCTCTTCTTTTGATATTATTAATTTTTTCTATTAGTATATGTTTTTTATTTTCAATATTTTCATACAATTTCATCATTTCATATCGTTCACATTTAGAGCATAACGCTTTATAAATAAGAGATAAATAATTAAAAGAAAATGTTTTTATTTTTCCATTTCTTATAAATTTACTTTTTGTTAAATCATTTTTAAAACAACATATAATTATAGGTTTTCCGAATTTCACAATAAAATTAAGAGGAGATAACTTGTCATCTACATCAAAAAAAATTTTTTTTCTATCTGAGCAATGAATAAATTGACAATTCAGAGATTTATAAGAAATATGAAAAAAATCTGAATCACTTGATAATAAAATGACACAATCAACATAATTTTTATATCCCATTTCTTGTATATCTAAACCTATTTCTATGTCGGTTCCTAATTGTTTAACAGAATTAGAAGAAATATAATGTGATTTGGTAATATAATAATATATTTTTAACTCCAAATCGCATTTTTCAGCTTCTTCTTTTATTTTTTCTAATTTCAAAAAGAAATCTTTGTAATAAGTATAGTCTTCTTTTGTATATTTACATCGGAGAAACTCTTCACATTGAGTTGCATGTATGTGAACAACATTACATCTGAAATTTAATAAATATATTATGTTGTTGATTATTTCAAAAAAATCATTTATTTCCATATTTCTCCCATATCTATTTTTAAATCCTATTCTTATATTTTCAAAATCTACTATAACTGCACTAGATAAACTCTGAGAAAAAACACTATGACTAATTAACTTATCTGAATCTATTTCTTTACGATTTGATAAAAATTCTCTTAATTGTTTTTCATCAAGGAAATTTTTATTATTTAAACTTAAGACTTCAAAATCTAAATAATATTTATTTACTGAATTTTTTTCTTTTTCATCAATAAAAGACATTTCGACAAATTTATTTTTAAATAAAATTTCTATTAAATTACCTTTCTTACTCATAAAACTTATATACACTCCTTTATTAAGATGCCTCATTTTTTTAAAATTTTTACTTACTGAAATTTTTTCTTCTCTAAATTGTTCCTTAAATATCCATCTATTATAATGTATTATCTTTTTTTCTTTCCGCATATCTTTTTTTATATTTTTTTTGGATTTCCTTTCTTTTTTTTTATTCTTTCTTCCAGTTACATTTTCTTTAGATGTGTTATTGCTGCTCCTTTCTTGTTCATCACCTTTAAGTAATTCCTTTTTGTTATTATTTAAACTACTATATTTTGCTTCTTTTCGTGAATCCTCTTTTCTCAAAAAATTAAGGTCAATTTCTTTCGATATTTTATTGGATTTATTCTTCACTTTTTTCAGATAATTTTTTTCACATGATATTTCAGTAGTACTATATTTATTTTCAGTATTTTCTTTTACAGTGTTAAATAATTGTATATGTTCCTTTTCGTTTCTTTTATCATATATACTTGTTATATTTCTTAACTTTTTTAAGTTTTTATTTTTATTAATGTATGAACGCTTATACAAACTGGTATTCTTTGTTTCATAATTTAAATTATGTTTATTTTTAATTAAATGGTAATTTAAACCATTTTTCAATAATTCATCTTGTAAACACAAATTTATTTTATCTATATTACTATTTATATGTCTGATTATGTTTTTTTTATTATTATATGTTTCTACATTTTTATTTTTTATTTCAACAGTTATATTAGAATCTTTTTCATTATTTAAGAAATACGAAGATAAATAACTTTCTGAATAGGTTGTTAAACTTCTACCAAATACACAATTACTATAATTGTTTTTATTCTCAGAAATTAATCTTTTATTATTAAATGAAAAAGTTTCATTATATTCACTATTGTCATCAATTGATATAACATCATTTCTTTTATCTTTCTCATCATCTATACATATAATATCATCATATTTGTTTTCATTTACATATTCATTTTCATTATCTATATAAATAACATCATTGTTTTTATTTTTATTTTCTTTTTCATTTTTATTTTCCATATTACTTTCATCTTCCTTTTTACTATTATTTTCCTTTATATTTTCATCTTTTCTTTCATTTTCATATTCATTTTCATATTCATTTCCATATTCATTTTTATTATCATTCTTATATTTATTTTCAGTTAAAATATTTACATCAATTTTATCTTCATCTACATTTTTCTCTTTATATATATTATTTAATAAAAAAAAACTCTTGTCTATATTTATGCTCATTTTATTTGATAATATACTTTTATCATTTTCATCTTCACTTGATATATATATAATATTATTATTGGAAATCATTTTTACATAATAATATTAGTTTTTAATTAATTTTACATCTTTTTTTTTTTTTTTTTTTATAGGGAACTAAAAAAAAGTTACCAATAAAAAATATAAATTTTTTGAAAATTTTGCAAAAAACATGGAGAAAAAAAAAATTAAGAATACAAAAATAACATTAAAATAAAGGAAAACGAAACTTGAAACTTCATAAAAATTTTAATTTTTGAGAAAAAGTTATATAAATATATATATAATGTTATTCACATTTCATAAATTCTATAAAAAAATAAAACAAAAAATACAAAAAATGAACATTACAAATGTTTCAACTTTTTTACTTGATGTTATATTTCTTGTTATTTGTTGTAAATATATATTCTGAATTTCTTTAAATAAAAGCATATTTAAAATAAAGAAAAAATGAAATATTTTTGAAACAACCACAAATTTTTCTTTTTAAAAGGGACAAAGAAAATTCAAAAAAATAACTTTGTTAGAGATATTGAAAAATAATATACTTCATTTGAAATAAAAAATTAATAAATTCCTTTTTATAAAAATCACATATTAAATTATTAAAAATATTATATATCATGAATATAACTTTGTTATTTTTATTTTTTTTTTTTTTTTTATATTAAGTCATTGAATAAGGATTTTGATGAGTTTAATTGTAATAATGAATATGAGGATAAAAATAGAAAAAATCACATTCATACAGTAAATTAGCAACTTTTAATATATATACTAATCAGCAACTGTTAATATATATACTAGTATTCTTAAATTCTTTTAATGTAAATAAGTAAATTTTATATTTTACCAAATATTTAAATTATGTTGATTTGTATAGAAAAAAAAAAAAAAAAAAAAAAGACAAAATATATTATTATAAATAATGTAAACCCTATCAATATTACAGTTTTCATTCTTTAAAAATGATATCAAGTAATAAACATGTTTATAAAAATAATTTGATTTTACACTGATATTTATTTTTTAATTTATAATCATTATAATTTTTTTTTATTATTAGTTTATTATAAACTTTAACTTAAATTTAATAATACACTAATACACTAAATATTTTGGTTTTTTTCAATATTCTTTATACTTACTATGGTGTTTAATTTTATCAAAATGAACTCATTATTATCATATTAAAAAAAAAAAAAAAAAAAAAAAAAAAATCTTAACACTATTCTATATTGTAATTTTTGCTTTAAAAAAATATCAAATTATTATGTTCATTTTTTGTCTAACTATATCAATAGAAAAAATTCATCCTAAATAAGATACATATTAATATATTGTGAATAAATTGATATTTGTTTAGTCATATAATGAGAAATATAAAATATTAAAAAAAAAATTAGACAATATCAAAATAATGACTCATGTGAATAGCACAAAAATGTATATAGATACATAAACACATTTTTATATTACAAATTTTATATATATATTCAAATAAAGTATTATATGTTCTTATTCAATTAAAAAATCACTTAAGCATACTGTAATATTTATTATTTATATTATATATAAAACACCTTAAAACTATTTTTAATTTGTTTTTACAACTTTTAAATTTAGAAAAAGTTCTCAATATATAGAATATATGTAAACATAAAATAGGAATAAACAAAAATATTATTATTTATTCTATTTTTTTTTTTTTTTTTTTTTTTATAAAATATTTAATATTTAATTTTAAATGGTCATTTGTTCATTTGTTCATTTGTTCATTTGTTCATTTGTTCATTTGTGTTATGGCTGTTATATATTTTTTTAATATAAATAAAAAAAAAAGGAAAAAGAAAACATCAAACAAATTTATTTAAAACAAACTTAATTTTTTCAATATTTTTTTTAAAAATAATTCTACATAATTGTTTTATTTATTTATATATATATATTTATTTTTTATAATAATTCATGTTATATTTAATCAAAAAATATATTTTCAGTGATTTTTTCCTCTTTAAATTTAGGATTTATATTAAAACTCAGATGATCATTTTTAAAAATTACATCAGCTTTTGTATATATACTAGTTAAAAAAAAATATTTACACCCTGTTTTTTTTGTTAGAATAAAAATATTGCAAAATAAAAATTTCAAAATTTCTTTTCTCTTTTGTCTTTTAAAATGATATAATTAAAAATAATTTTCATTTATTTTAAATATTTTTGTGTAGATAATTTTTTAATTCTATTTTAGTACTAAGTTCAATATGTAATTTATTCATAAAACTTACTTGATAAACATTTTTTAATATATTAAGATTACAATTATATTTTTCTATTTATTTTACAAATTAATATCATAATTTTTTATTTTATTTCTAAGGTATATTTTCAGTATTTTGTAAAATTATTTTGTAATTTTTTTTTCTTATATTTACACCTACATTAATAAAAAGTTACTTAAATATGTTTAATAAATCTAAATTAATATAAACATATATAAAAATTCTCTAAACTTTTTATGTAATAACTTAAACTTTTACATAATTATATATATATATTTATGTTAAAATAGTTAAAATAACATTTTTATTTAGAAGAAAAAATTATAATAATGTTATTTTTATTTAACAAAATTTTTATTCTTCCATTTAATTATTTCTATAATTTTTATAGATATAGTTTTCATGAGACTTATTTTTTATTTCATATTATGCCATCATAACACTTGAAATAATGTTTAAAAAAAAATTTTTTTGTAAGCTAATTTTTTGTTCAAAAATTTTATCTATGAAAAAAAAAAAAAAAAAAAAAATATAAATATCAAATAAATATTTTTAAAATAACTTTTTATTTTTCATTCTACTTTTATCTATCTCTGAAAGGATTCATTTGATTTAATTAAAATCTCTTATTTAAGTCATAATTTAGTAATATAATTCATAAGAAATTTATTAATATTATTTTAATAAAAACAAAAACAAAAATTTTAGGAAATAATATTTAGCTTCCTCAAATATGAAGAAATATTTTTTTTAATTCTAAAATAAATAATATATAATTTTCTTATTAAATTTTCCCACTATATCAGGTATATTCTTCATAAAAATTTTCAGCTTAAAAATTCTACAAAAATTCTTTACATTTCTTTTAACTCTTATATTTAACATAAATGTATGGGTCATGTATATTCTAATTATGTATATCAATTTATTTTATATAATAAAATATTGCATTTAGAATTATAATATATTACTCTTATGTTGTATTTAGAGACCCTATACATTTTTAATTAACGTATTAAATCAACTTAATAAATGTTCATAACATACAATCTCTTAAATAATCAATTTAAATATAATTAAATTCTCGTTGTATATTCAAGTTATCAAATATTTAAAGTAGCCACCTGTGGGATTCGAACCCACGATCTTTTGATTACGAATCAAACGCATTACCAACTATGCTAAGATGGCTCAAATACATATATTGGTGATGTTATATTAAAATTAATATAATAATAAAGAATAAAAATAAAAACATTTTTTTTATTAAAAAAAATATTTACTAGATATTTCAACATAATAACTATATGAATATAATAAAAAAAAATTTAAACCTAAAGTTTTAAAAATTAACAAGAATTTGTTATCCTCTTAAATATAATTTTAGTAAAAGTAAATTATTGCCTAATTCCTCAAGACATTTTAAAAGTAGTTAAATTTAAAAATATATTTTATCATTAGAAAAATATCACATTTTATAAAAAAGTTCATTGAAATTTGATTTTAATTTTACTAATAGTTTATAATTAACAATAAAGAATTATTTTTGCAATGTTCTTTATGTTACAATCATTCTTTTTGTGCCATTAATTTCATCAAATTTCTTTCACAAAAAATATATTTTAATCATAAAAAAAAATATATTTCTGTAATTTTTATTCTAATTTTATATATAAAATTTGAATATGTGATAAAATGTTTTATATTATCTATTTTTTATAATACATGAATGTATTTTAGGAAGTAAAAAATTTGGTTCTTAAAAAGCAAAAGAGAGATGTTTATATTAATAGTTCTATCTATATTCCTTTTATATAGAAAAAATAAAAAATTACTTAAAATAGTGTATAAAATTTTTTATAATTGTAAAAGATTCATTAAGATTCGTCATCTTTTAGTCTATTCTTATTTCATAAGTAAGATATTTGTTTATAAAATTTTATTATTTCTTTTTAGAATAAAATAAAATAATACATAAGATTATTGACATTTCTCATAATTTCATTCTTATATTTCAAAAAAAAGGGAAAAAATAAAAGAGGAATAAGCATTTTTACATGCATACCAGTGTGCATAAACAGTTGTATATAAAATGTAACATTAGAAATGAATTAATAATAATTGAATTTTACAATTTTTTTTTTTTTTATATATAATTAAACTTTTTAATATGATAATTATTTCTTTGGAGAAAAAAAAAAGTAAATGACACTATGACAATAGTTGAATAACTATAAAATATTTTTTAATTAATAAATAACATAAAATATACTAAGACTAACATAAATGAATAAAAATTATTCGTTTAAATAACCCTACATAAAATTTTTTTTTATATTTGTTTTAATTTTTTTTAAAAATTGAAGTGTAATAATATAAGTTAAATAATAAAATTTTAATTGTACCAAGGCTTTTTTTTTTTTATTTATTATAAGTAATTTTAAGTTAAATAGTATGTGAACATATTACTATATGATATAAATAATCTTGAAAAAATAGCCATAAATCTTATGATACTTCATAACCTCTTATATAGTATAATTTTTTAACTTGTAACAACTTTTATTAATAATTACCAATTTAATTTAAAAAAAATTATGAATGTTGTATTTTTTATTCTATAATTTTTTCATAAAATAAAAAAAAAAAAAAAGTATTATTAATAATTACTATCATTTTACATTATTTTATATATATATAAACCTTCTTTACAGTTAAATATATATAAAAAAAAAAAATATTTATATTAATAATAAATTATTTTACTTTTTAATGTTTTGTTTCTTTTTGCAAGGATTTTTTCTTTTTTTGTTTATACATATTTAAAACAATAATCAAAAAAATTTTAATAATATAGTTTTTTCATATAAAAAAAAAAGTAATGAATTAAAAAAAAAATTATAAAATAAAAAACTTAAATTACATATACTAAAATATAATTTATAATATTTAAATGTAATTTTAATAACATGATTTCTTTTCTTTTCTTTTTTTTTTTTTTTTTTTGAGATTTTTGGTAATACTTCTAATATCTTTTTATTTTTATGTTTTTTGGGCTTAATTCTTATATCTCTTGCTTAAAATATTTAGAATTTTTTTTTAATTTTTTTTTATATAATTTAACGTAATATTAAACTAAAAATAACATTTTAAATATATTTTGTCTCGATTTAGGAATTTTTTTTTTTTTTTGCGCATTGTAGAAATTTAAACTTTTTGTGATAAAACTAAACTGGAGAAGAATATAAAAAGGAAAAAAAAAATTGTCAACATACAAATTGTGCACAAAATAATGAATTTCATATTTATGTAATATTTTTTTATATATCTATTTTTTCCTTTTATTTTCTGTTCAATTTAAGAAAAAATTAATAAATATATACAAGTATATTTGACAAAGCTTGAATAAAAATTAAAGAAATTTTTATTCTCCTTAAAAAATAAATATATATATATATATATTAATATATATATATATATATTAGAAATTTTAATAATTAACAGAAAGAAAATATTACAAAAAAATGTAAAAATATATAAACTCTCATAAATATAAAAGACAAAAATATCAGTTTTAAACATCATAATTTAAATAATTTATATAAATACGAAATTTTTGTAATTTTTGAAATGGCATATTTGACAGAGAAAATAAATAATAATATAAAAATTGAAGAACATAATATGAGTGATAATAAAAATAGTTTAAAAAAAAATATTAGTGAAGATAAAGAAATTACATTCACATTAGAAGAGAATAAAGATTTAATAAATAATAAAGATACATATACAAACGAAAACAACAAAGTAGAAGATAAAAAATACATAAATAAAGAAAACATAATAAATAACGAAAACATGTTAAATGAAAAAAGTGAAGAAAAAGTAAAAATTAATAATGATAAAAACATTGAAAGTGAAAATTATAAATCACCTGAATCATTAATAAGCGATAATAATTCTTCTGATAATTTAAAAAAAGATATGAAAGATATTGATATAGGAGATGGAACAAAAGATAAAAATGAAGAAAAGGAGAATAAAGAAGATGATACATCAAAAAAAAATATTAGTATTGAATTGCTAAAAATTTGTGATGCTTTAAAAAATATAGGAAATAAGTATTTTAAGGAAAATAACTATATTGTTTCTTTAAAATATTATACAGAAGCCATTAATTTAATAAAAAAATTTTTTGATGATACTCATGTAGAACTATTAAAACAAATAAGTATTGATAATTTACAGAATGAAATAAATGTAGATGAATCAGATAAAGATATACTTAAAGAATTTTACACCAAAAGTGTTGTTTCTAAAAAAAATGATTTTATAAGTATAAAAGAAACTGATCTTTACATTTATTACACAAATAGATCTTTTTGCCACATGAAATTAGAAAGTTATGGTTTATCCATTCAAGATATTGATGAAGCAATAAAACTTAATCCTTTTTATGCAAAAGCTTATTATAGAAAAGGGTGCTCTTATTTATTACTATCTGATTTAAAAAGTGCTTCAGAATGTTTTCAAAAGGTACTAAAATTAACTAAGGATAAAAATTCAGAAATAAAATTAAAGCAATGTAAAAAGCTTTTATTTGAACAACATTTTCAGAAAGCCATAGAATTAGAACAAAAAATGCCATACTATCAGACATTAGTATTAGATTCTCTTAAAATAGAAAATAATGATGCTCCTATATATGACAGAAATAATTTAAATATAGATTTTCTGAAAAAGGTAGTGGACTATATAAGTGTACCAAATCAAAAATTAAATAAAAAATGTGTATGTGCAATAGTTTTAGATGTAATTAAACTCCTAAAAGAACTACCAACTTTAGTTTATTTAAATTTACAACCAGATGAAACTTTAACTATATGTGGAGATATACATGGGCAATTTTATGATTTATTAAATATCATGAATATAAATGGTTATCCATCAGAGAAGAACTCTTATTTATTTAATGGAGATTTTGTAGATAGAGGAAGCTTTTCTGTAGAGGTAATTATCTTTTTATATTTGGCGAAACTAATATTTCCAAATAATGTTCATTTAACTAGAGGAAATCATGAAACAGATAATATGAATAAATTATATGGATTTTTAGGAGAATTACAAGAAAAATATGATGATAAATTACATGCATTATTTTCTGATTCATTTAAATTTCTACCATTGGCATATGTATTAAACAAAACGATTTTTATATGTCATGGTGGAATACCAAGTAAAACAGATACAACTCTGGAAGATATTCAAAAAATTGATAGAAATACAGAACCTTTAGATGAAGGAGTAATGACAGATTTACTTTGGTCAGATCCAAATGAAGAGAAAGGATTTAAACCATCTAAAAGAGGAATAGGGTTTTCTTTTGGTACTGATATTACTGAAAATTTTTTAAAAAAAAATAATTTAAGTCTTATTATTCGATCTCATGAGGTAAGAGACGAAGGATATTCAATTGAGCAAAATGGAATGTTATATACAGTTTTCAGTGCCCCTAATTATTGTGATATTATGAAAAACAAAGGAGCATTTTTAAAATTCAAAGGCAATTCAATTAAACCCGAATGTGTAACATTTACTGAAGTAAAGCATCCTGATGTTCCATCTCTTAAATATGCCCATAATTTATATCAAAATATTTAAAAAAGAGAATATTATATGAACTGTAAAAAAATAATTATACTTTTTGATATATGTTAATTACAAAACTTTTGGAATTAAAATTCTTTTTAATAAAGTACTACATATTTTATTAAAAAATTAACCTTAATATTCATAAACTATTCATATTAAAAAAAAAAAAAAAAAAAAAATTTCGCTTTATAAATGTAAAAACTTTGAGTTTAAAATGTTTATTTAAGTATCATTTTTATAATATTTTAAAATTCAAAACTTATGTATTATTTTTAAGGTTTTAGTTTAAATGAAGAAAAAAATATTCCATATCCTATTAAGAAAAAAAATGAAAGTCTTCATGTGCAAATATACACCTTTATGAAAAAACATAAAAAAGAAAAAAAATTATAAAATTATTTTGTAAATGATTTTATAAAATATTATTATGAATATATATGTTATATTATAAACATAATACCTATATATATAGATGAAAAAGTATAGCAGAATTTCGCATTATAACATAAAACTCAATTTTAAAGATGCATTAATACATGATGGTATTTTAAAAATTCAACATTAAGAATATTTGTAATAAGAATCATTTGATAATTATTATCATTTCAGTTAAGTTATGTAAAAAAACAATTTTATTAAAAATTCTTATGAAAGGAAATTAAAAATCTAACATTTTAGTAACTATTAAAATTTTGATATGGTTAAAGAATATAAATTATAAAAATATTTTGCTTGTATTAATAAAAGTATGTTAATTTTCATTTTTAAAATAGATTTGTATATTTATATTTTAAAATAAAAATGGCCTTTTAGTACAATATTTTATTCTTTCTATTATTACTTCTTTATTCCTATAGATTTTCCTTATTCTTTTTTTTCCTTAAAAGTATTTAATCTGTAAAGAAGGAATATCATATATTTTTTCTTTTAATTTATTAATCTTTTTAGTTTTTTTAAAAAGTTATGCAATAAAATAAAAATATTAAAGAGTATTTAGAATGTATAGAAATGTTTTTGCTAAATAAATTTTAGATTCGTTAATTAGACATTATTAAATAAAATACATTGATAAAATCATATATAAAAATAGTACAACACATTTAGCAATGTAAATATTATCATATATAAAATAAAGATTTTTTTATGAATCAATTTTTTTTTTCTTTTTTTTGTTTCTTTATATAAATATTAATTATATAAATAATAAAAAAAAAACTAAGGAATTTTTATCTATTAAAAAAATTTTATTTTTTTTGTTTTTTATTATAGAACTTTAAATAGAGGAGCTTCTCATTTTTTTTTAAAAATTTGTTTTTGTTTTAAATTATGACTTTGAAGGGTTGAATAATGTTCATTATTCTTTAAGTGTTTTGATGACCTTAAAAATAAATTTTTCATATAGTTCATATTTAATTCCATTATCTTTTCATTTATACTTTCTATATTTTTTTTTATATAAGAATAATGATTTTTCATTAAATGCATATTATTTGCATTACATTTATTATAAGTGTTATCAATAAATTGGCTACCGTAAAATATATTTTGATTTTTTAATATATTTCCATATAATTCTGTTAACTTGTTTTGTTTAGAAAAATCTTCAGCATATTGATTAGTATTCATTTCATTTATGAATAGTCGATGCAAATTTATATCGTATTTCAGGTTTAATTTCAAAAAAAATATTTTTTCTTCCGATATATCAAATTTAAAAATATTACTATCAAAAGATTTTTTATTGCATTCGTATACTAAACAGCTACCTATAATAGTCATAATTCTTAAGCCATTTTTTGGGAATTCAATATAATTTTCATTTTTTGCATTTAAAAAAATTAAAATAGAATATTTATAAATGTTTTGTTCTATGAAGTGAACTGAATCTTCTTTATCAATACTTTTTAAATATAAACAAAATTCTATAGAACTAATACCATTTGTTGGTATTTGAAATAATGAATTTAATCTTTTAATAATATGTCTTAATATTGATGTTGATACATTTTCTTCTAAAAAATTTATATCATCTATATTTATTAGTATTGAAAAAAAATTATGATAAATTTGGGACATTTCTTTTTGATTTTTCTGAAAAAGAAAAAAAAATAATAAAAATATGAAGAAGAAAAAATATATTTTTTTTCTATATGAAAAACTAATTTTATTTGAATTTATATAATATTATATACAAAAAAAAACAAAAAAAAAAAAAAAAAAAAAATACATATATATTTATATACTTTATAGAATTAAATTTTTTTTTTAATTTTTTATTGACTACTTTAATATATAAAAGACAATGATTTAATGCTAAATAACTTTCTAAATCTGATAAAAAATTTTGAGAAATAAAAAAATAAGGATTTTTACATATTTCCATTAAACTTATTTTCCTTACTTTTTTTGTATTTGTATTTTTGTTTATTATTGAAACGTAAAAATTTCTAATATTTTGAAGGTCACTTCTAAAATTCTCATTTCCTGAAACAAACTTGCTAGCTTGTTCATTTGAGTATATATAATTATTACATATATTATTTTTATGAGTCAATTTTTTATTAAATAATCCATTTAAATCTTTACATTTCATAAAATTACCGTCTGTATAAGTATTAGTATTACTCATTTCATAATATGCTTTTTTAAAATTTTTAGAATTAAACTCACTACTATCTTGAAGAAAATTTCTACAACAATTATCTCGTAATTTTTTTTTCGGAAGTACTCTTGAAATATTTATAAAATTTTGCATATTTGTATAGTTTAATTGCACTTCTTCATTTTCTATATTTAAATATTTTAAAGAATCTCTTAAAATTTTTTCCTTTTTTTTTGATAATTTAGTTGAAAAATTATTTACCTTGATAATACATATTTTAATGATAGAATTAAATTTTTCATTAATTTTATTAGTTGTATCATGAAATTTTTCTAATAATATTTTTGTCCAAGTATTTTTTATTTTTTTTTTTGTAAAATTTTTTATGTTGCATGTTGGAAACATATGTTGACAACCTTGAAATATTAACTCATAATTTTTTTTTTTTTTATTTTTTCTACAAGAAAAATTTTTTTCATTAATTTCACTTATTTCAATAGTAACATAACCTTTTTTCCTTTCTAATTTATTTTCATATGTATTATTAACATGAACATTTTTGCTTCTAATGTAATACATAGCCCTATAATTTTTATTAGGTCCGTTATTCATACTTTTCTATTATTTTATTAAAAAGAAAAGAAAAACTAGAAAATTATAATTATTAAAATTATTTATTTTTTTGTTCTCTTATGTGTTACCTATTTTTTTTTAAAGGTTTTTTTAATGCTCATTTTTAAATTAAATTAGATAAACAAAATTTTATTATATACTTTTTACTAAATATTATAATCCTATAGAAACGTTTTTTGATGTTCCTCAAATAAATGCTTTATATATATATATAAATTTTTATCAATTATTAATATTTGCATACCTCTTTTTTTTCCTCTTTTTCTCTTTTTTTATGAACTTAATTTTTTTTTTGTAATAATAAATTTAAGAATGTATTAGCTTGGCTATTTTCTTCTAATGAACTAGGAAGAAATATATTAAAAATTAAGTAATTAAAAGTGGGAGAATTATTCTTTTTATAAATAAAAGTAATATTTACATATTTAATTTTAATTTAAATAATTGCAAAATTTAAAATGTTAAGTAGAATTTCTAATTTTTTAAAAGGTATTATTTTTAATATTTATGAAATAATTACATTTAAGGTATATTATTCTTAATATTTTAAAATAATAATTTTTCTTGAAAAACTATATGCACCTAATAGAAATTATTTTTAATATATTTTTTCTTTTCAAAAATTTTAATAGAAAATAATATGTGTTAATTTTTAAAACTATATTTAATATTCCTACACAATTCTTTCTTTTTCATTGTACTTTTTTTTTTTTTTTTTGTACTTCTTCTTTTTCTTGTACTCAACATCATAGTACTACCATAGGAAAAGAGAAAGGAACATATAAAAATAAATGAAAAGAATCATATAATTATTTTTTTTTTTTTAATGAATAATTGAATTGTCAATATTTTTTAATGTTGTATTTCATCATACTACAATTTTTCCTATGTTTTTCTTTAAGGAAAAAATGGATATTTAAAATTAATGTTTTAATAGTATTTAAAAAAGGTAATCATTTAGTTATATAATTTAGGATAAAAAAAAATTATAAACCAAATTAATAAATTTTTTTTTTTTTTTCCAGGTGTACATAAATAGCTATAATTGCCATATAAAATTCACAAGTTTTTTTTTTCATAAAAAATTATAAAAATAACTATTTTTTCCATTCTATTGAATACATAATGATTAACGTATATAATTGAATGTTAGGTTAATGGGATTATATGATGTTGTATTTTTTTGATAATATTTAATAAATTATTTTTAAATAGTTTACTTTATAAATTTGTCATTAAAAATTTATAAAAAAAAGTTTTAAAACAATGCTTTTTTTTTTCTTTTTTTTTTTTTTCTGTAGAAAGTAAATGCGCACAAACAAATGTGATTTAAATAGATAAAAAAAAAAAAAAAAAATTTAATACTTAATTAAATATATTTTTATGCATAAAAAAAAAAATAAAATAAAATAATGTATTAAAAAATAACAGAACAGAAAAAAATACATTAATAAAATATATACATAAATAAATACATATATTGTTATAAAACAAAAAATATGTTAAATAAAATACATATAATGATTCCATAAAAATATAAATAAAATAATAATAATAAAAAAAAAAAAAAAAAAAAAAAAATGATTAATAATAAAAAGATAATAAGATTATAATTTACTATTTGTAGATGAATATTCATTGTCTTCTTCATTATTATCATCATATGAATAGTTATCATCAGCATAATCATCATTAATTTGATTCTTTTCATTACTTTTGGTATCATTCGAAATAGTATTATATGATGTATCATAATTTTGCCTTAACTTAACTTCCTTTTCAATCCATTTTATATGAATTTGTTCAAACGGTGAAAAAATAACAGCATCATGAGTATATTCACCAGTTCCCAAAAATATTCTTGATTTCAGATTTTCAATTTTAACACAATCAGTCATATCATCTTGTTTCCTTAAATGTTTATTACCAAAAAACCAATGATCTTTTTTTGGATGTAATGGTGGCTTATTATTGTAAATTTTACAAAGTTCATCAGCATCAAAATGAGACCAGTCAACATTTTCAAGAGTACCTCTACAATGGTATAACCATAATGTGTGAACTTTATATATGTGATTGTAATCTGATTTTTTTGATTTTATTAAATTATCTGTACAATTTTTTGCAGCAATTATATGAGTAACACCTGGTAAATCATAATTGCTATAAATTTTTGCACCTAATTCTAAAGCCATTTCCTTTTGTCTTTCTTCACAATCTGCTGATAACACATTTTGAGCATTTTTCGAATTTTTTCTAAAACCTGTGAAATATACTCCTACATTCTTTAAGGTATCAGACATAATTTCTTCTATTAATTTACCTACATCTACTTCTAATGGTTTCTCGAAAAATTTTTTGTGCAATTTAAGAAAAACTTTTGTCATATAATATAGATGCATATCCATATCTAAAAATTTTTTTTTACAAGTAGATGATTCTTTAAAATGTGATAAAATATCATATTTACTTAACTCAAAAAAGTTATAATGTTCTGCTTTTAATATATGAGATTGTGGTATATCAGACCAAACGTCTTTTCTATCATCAAAAGCTATTACATATTTTGAATCTATGTTTGGATAAATTCTTGAAAAATGTTTATTTTCATCCCTATCCGTTGAACTACATCTAGCTACAATTCTATCAGAAAATAATGTTCTATCAGGATCTAATATTGCTATTACTACATCAGCATATTCTCTTGTTGCATTTGTATAAACTGATAACTCATAATATAAAGATAAAATTTGCAAAAATTGACGAACATATGGTCTGAATTTTAAGTAATAAAAAAAATTATATGATGGAAGAAAAAATTTATATAATTGAGCTTCTCCATTTTCATCAACAAAATTCTCAAGGGGCAAATCCATATTAAATTTTGCAAAAGAAGTTGCTTGTAATAATGTATTATCTAAATCTAAAAGTAAAATTAACTTTCCATCTTTTAAAGTTGAATGATATGTTTTCCCTTCTTTTTGGAATTTTGTTTTTAAAATATGAGGAGATAAAATTTTAATTTCATGTAACTCATAAATATTATTATATTTTTCCGGTGGGTATGGCATATAGGAATTAATAAATAGATCCTCTGTTTTTATTTGATTTAATGATAACTTATTTTTTTTATCATTTACTGATTCTTTCCCTAAATCAACACTATTATAATTTATAGAACTATCACTACAGCTACTATCATAACTATTATCATTTTCCATAATCATTTTACTCTTATTTTGATTTCTGCATTTTTCACTTTTTTCGTGAAATCCCCTTTTGAGGAAATTAAGATTATGGCTTATATTTTGATTATATATTTCATTTTGATCTTCACCTAAATAATTTGATATTTTATTATTTGCGTAACTTACATTTTCTGCATTATTTATTTTATCACTCGCATTCATAGAGTTAACTGTTTTTTTTTTTTTTTTGTTTTTATCTATATCATGTTTATGATTACTCGTACTACTATTGCTACTACTTGGAGAATTACTTAAATCTATATCATTAGAATAATTTACGTTATGATTAAAAGAATTGGTAACAATATTATTCATATATGCATCTCCTAATCCTTTTTTGCTTTCTATTTTCAATTTTTTTTTATAATATGCATTATTAGTATTAGGGTAATAATGATTCACTTCTTCACTTGTGTTAATATTTCTATTATAATTACAGAATTTATATAAATCATTCATTAATTCAGATTTATTATTATTACTTTGATTTAAATTTGTATCAAAAGGTGATGTAGCATCACCTGAATGAAAATTGTTCACATTAAAACTTTTTGAATTATTATTACTTTCATCATATTGTCCATTCATAATTTTGTTTGGTTCTTCATTATATAAATCGTAATCTTTCTCTTCTTCGTCACTTATTTCAGAAACTTCACTTAAACATTCAATATAGTTTTGTATATTAAAATCTTTTACATTATTTCCTTGATATTTCATATATTTTTCATTGTCATATGTATTATTTGTATTTAATTCATTTTCCATATTATTTTTACAATTTTTTAAAAATTCTAAGTTAAAATTTTGTGCTATCATATCCAAATTACTGAAATTATTAGATACGTTGTTTCTATTATTAATATTACTATTATTATTTTTCTTATTTAAATCGGTTAATTCATCTATATTATTTTTGTGACTACCATTGAAATCATTGATAGGGTCATCATATTTGAAAGAATTATTGTAATTATAATTATTATCATAGTTATTAGTGTTATCATATATATCATCTCGACTAATATTATCATAATTATTATTTTTATCCTTACAATTATCTTCATAAGAGTTGGTATTATAATTTTCATTCTCATTATTAAAATTATTATTTAACGCATTATTATTATTATTATTTAAATTAATATTCTTATTAATAAGTTTATTCTTATTCATTATATTTTCATTATTTACATTTCTGCTATCTTTTCCATCAATACTTTTAAAAGGGATAAAATATTTGTTTAAAGAAAAAGCTAAATTATTGAAATTTTTTTTATTCATATTATTATAAAAGTAATTCATATTATTATTATTATTGTTTCTATTAGCACTTTTAGTTGTGTTATAATTTTCTTTCATAAAAGTATTTCTCATATTACCCTCTTCATTATTTTGATTATTAAAATTTAAGTTAGAATTTTTATTAGAATAATTCTGATATTTTTGTTTCTCATTATTATAATTCGATGAATCATTTTTGTTGTTATTTAAATCAGTTAAATTGATAGAATTATTATTAAATCTTTTTATGTTATCATTAAATGATTTATGATAATTTTTTTTCTGTTTATTTTTATAAAAATTATCATATTTAGCTACTCTCCTTTTTTTATTGGTATTTATAATAATATTATTGCTATTATTTGAGTTGATTTGATCATATCTATTAATAACAACATTATTATTTATACTATTATCATTATTATTAATATTCATATTATTATTATTTTCATTATTTGTATCATTATTACCATTATTCATATTATCACTATAACTATCATTATTATTACTTTTATTATTATTTTTTAGTTTTTTGTTTTCATGAAAATTTCGATAGTTACTTTTATTTTGTCCTTGATTATTATAAGTTGAAAATAGAACATCTCTTTTATAAAAATCATCATAGTAATTATTATTAGTTATCATCTCCTTTTCACTATCATCATTTTCATTATTTTCGTTTTTCTCATTTTCATTATTTTCTTTATTAATATTTTGTTTTGAATTATTTTGTTTGATTGCATTTTTATTAAATATATTAAATTTATTTCTAAAATTTTTAAAATTCTTATTAATACTAAAATTATTATGATTACTTTTATTATAATTATTGTAATTCACATTTTTATTAGAATGCTTATTAAGCAATTTCGTTTTCCCATTATTTGTATCTAAATCACTACAATAATTTTCTTTATATGTATAAAAACAATTATTACTATTAGAAGAAATATTTTGAGCATTATTATAAATGTTATTTTCATTACTCATATTATTATTATTATTATTATTGTTATTATCATTAATAATATTTATATCATTACATATATTAATATTTTCTACCTTGTTAAAACAACTATTTACATTATTATAATTATCAATATTATTTGTATCTTTAATGTTATCATTATCATTTTTATCATCATTTGTATTATTCATTTCATTAAAATTATTATTCATTTTATCACTATTCCTAATTTCTCTATCGTCATTATTTAAGACAATCATATTTCTATTATCTTCATCAAAAAAATTTATATTCTTGTTAACTTCAAAAGTAGAAAGAACTGAATCAACTTCTACTTCTTTACAGCTTTCTTTTGCATCCATTTAATAAATAAATAAAATAATACAAATTGTTTAAAATAATTTTATTATAATTTATAAAATTTAATAATAGAAAAAAAAAAAAAATAATAATAAAATAAAAACGAAATGTTTATAGTTAATTTTTTCTTAAAATTTCTTAATCTTTTAACTAAAAACATTACTTGTTACAATTCTACTACTTAAAAAAGTAACGTTGTATTTATTAAAGTTTATTCAAATTGTTATATTAAAATTTCTAAAAAAAATTTATTTTTTTTAATATAAACAAATTACGTTTTCCTTTTTTCTTTTTTTTTTTTTTTTTCATTTCCCCTTTTTAAAATTACCTTTAAAAATATCATTACCTTTGATTATTTAAATATTTCTATATTTAATTTTTAATTATTACTTAATAATTAATATATATATATATTATTATAAAGTGAAAAAGGAATACCATTAATTTTTAAAATTGCCATAAAACTTAGAATAAAATTAAATCTTTTAGACCTAATTTTTATTCTTTATTATTTTTATATGAACTATTTTAATTTAAAAAAAAAAATATATATATATATTTACTACTATTTATAAAATTTAAAATGTACATATAAATAATCAATATTTATATAAACAAAATTTTTAAAAATAAAAATTTTATATAAAGTATAATACATATATGCAAATGTTTAAAAACTTTAAGTTTAAAATTTTACTATTCATAAAAACATAATGTAGCAAATGTATATTCACACAAAATTACAAAAAATAATTTTTTATAATTATAATAATATAGAAATATATAAATATAAAAATACATAATTACGCTCATATATAATTTATTGATAAAATAATAAATTAGGATAATCAAAAAAAAAGTCAAAAAAATGAAAAAAAACTAAAAATTTTAGATATAGAAATATACACTATATATAAATAAATATATAAAACTTAATATAGTATTCATATATCAATAGTGTTGAAATCACATTAATATACATATATGTTAAGTATATACATAAAAGAATATAGGAATAGTTTTTTCTTTTTCTATATATATATATATATATATTTTGATAATATCTTTAATATATTTTTCTAAATATAATACTTTTCCAAATTATTTTCTTTTATCTTTTTTTTTATGTAATTTTCTTCATTTTGACATTTAAAAATATAAAAGAATTCATTTATTTTTCTTTATATTCTTTTTGGTAGATGGAGAATTAAATTTTTTTAAAAAAGATAATAACATCATTTTTATTTTTCTATAAATATATACACATATATATTAATAAATTTAAATATTTAGTGGGTAAAAATAAAAAGCAAATCCCGTTATATATAAAATTTTAATAGATGTTTTCCATATAATAAGCATAAAAAATTATAATTTATTATATATAAACATACATAAAATAAATAATAATAGATTTTATAAATATACATATAATATGGTAATACAATTTTATTTGAATTTAATTGTATTACACATTTTTATCTTAATAAAAATAAACTCCTAAAATAAAGCTAAAAAAAAAAATAACATATAATTAAAATTTAAAAAAAAATTATATATATATATATATATATATGGCATTTAAATATATATCTATCAAATATTCTAATTTTATTATAAATAATGTGTTTTAAAAATAAATTATAAAATATGTTTCTGTATTAAGAATAAATCTGTAATTAAAATTATTACACAATTTTTACTTTTCTATATTTACTAATGTAAACTTTGTTTTGCATTTTATTTTATATTTACAGTTATCTTTTATTTTTTATGTCCATTTTTTTATTCATTATTCCTTTAACTTATTTTTAAATTAAATCTTATCTATGATAACTGTTTTATGTATATACTAATATATTTTTTTTTTTTTTTTTTTTTTTTTTTTTTTTTTTTTTTTTTTTTTTTTTTTTTTTTTTTTTTTTTTTTTTTTTTTTTTTTTTGTATATAGAATTAGAATAAACAAAAATATTTTTATAATTTCGTTATAATGCAAATTCTCTTCAGATTTATGATTTCTCAAATATTATTTTTCTCTCATAAAATTAATACATTTTAAAAAAGGTGAGAATAAAAATATATATAAAAAAAAAAGATATAAATATATATATATAATTTTGAGAAGGTTAATAACTTGTTTTTTATTATTTCTTTAAATCATATTTATCCTGTATCTCTGTTAACATTCTTTTTTAATTTTTAAAATGAATATCTTATTACATTTTTTTTTTTTTTTTTTTCTAACTTCTCTTCATTTATATTTATTCGCCATTTTAAATTATATTAATTTTTAGCAAACAGATAGGAAAGAACAAGAGAAAATATTATGAGAATATATATATATATATTAATATATATATATATATATTTATTTATTTATTTATATATTTATTTATTTATTTATTTATTTATTTATTTATTTATTTATTTATTTATACATGTACTTAAATATAAAATATAACATAAAAATATATTTAAAAAAATGTAAAATAAAACAATATGTAATATATATGTAAAAATTTTTGTTCTCTTAGAAATTTTTAAGATAGAAATCAAAATTTCGAAATTTATGAGAACAATGAATCCTTTTTAATTATTCAGAGAAGATTTTTATTATAGTAAGGAATTTTTTTCTTTAATTATTTATCTATATCCCTTAATTTTAAGTATAATGTCAAAGGAAAATATAAGAATTTTTTATAAAAAATAAAATATAATATTAAAAAAAAAATAGTTTTTTTAACCTTTAATGAAACATTTTATTTTTTTGCTCTCATTATTAAAGAAAAAAAAAAAAAAAAAAAAAAAAAAATATATATATATATATATATAATAAAAAAAAAAATATAAAATAATAAAGTTTATTAAAATGTTTTTATTTTAAAATATACATATTTTTTTTTTTTTTTCTTATTGGATAATTTTTCTTTTTTCAAAATTTTATGTATTATCATATAATTTTATGTAATATAAAAAAAAAAAAATAAAAATACAATAATAAAAAAAAAAATAAAACATAAGTAATATATATATATATATATATATATAAATTAAAAAATAAATATAAAAATATGTAAAAAAATAAAAATAATAATATTAGCATGTAATAAAAAAGCTCATTTCTTATAATTTCTTATAATTTTTTATAAAATGTTTTCTTGTGCATGATTTATTTAAAAATATCTTTAACTTGATAATCCACTTTTTATATATTTATATTATATAAAAATCATTTTTCTTATATAAAAATGTAAAAAAAAAAAAGAAAAATTTCAACAATATTTTAACCATAAAAAAAAAAAAAAAAAAACCACTGACGCACTAACAAGCTGATATTTGTATTTGTGACTTTTGCATATTCATAAAAATGTACATTAACATTGAAATTATTTATATATATTTTTATATTAGAAATTAAGGTTTTACATTTTAAGATTATTAAAAAAGAAAATAGTAGAAATTATAATTGTAATATAATTTTAAAAATATTACTAAATTTAAATGTATATTTTTCTATATCTAAGATATGCTATACCTTTTTGATTCTGCAAATAAAGAATGTGTTTCTATTTTACAGTTTAATTTTTTTTTTTTTTTTTTTGTAATTTTTCTTCTTTTTATTTTAGTTTTTTAAGAATATATATATTTTTTTTTTTTTTTTTTTTTATACTATAATATAATAAAGCTATATTCTATAACAAAAAATACAAAATATTTTTTTTATTTTTTTATTTTAAAAATTTTATACATTTATTATAAATATATTTCTATTAATACTAAAAAGTCTATAAGGTATAGTTTTTTTTTTTAGCCTTTCTTGGACTTTTTTTTTCCTTTCTATGTACTTTAGAATATATATAAATTATATTAGTTTTATCTCTATTATTGGAAGAAATTTAAAAAAATATAGATGTATAATATTATGTAAAAAAGAAAATGCTAAAAACTAATATTTTAACATAGAGATGTAATATAAATGTAAAGATAAATGGATATCATTCATATTTTTAATATTTTTTTTCATAAGGTTAAGTTTCATATTTTGTTATAGTTTATTTTTATGTATTCTTTCACTAATAGCAAAAGGAATTATTTCAAAATAAAATAAACATTCTTAAAATAAAAAGTAAATTATAATGTTAGTTCAAAAAAAAAAAAAAAAAAATCTCTATATTAATTATGTCTACTAAATAATACAATTAATTCTTTTAGTGAATTTCTAGAAAAAAATAAAATAGAATATTTAGAATATTCTTTCATAATTAATAAGCAGGAAAATAACATATAAGTATTGAAATTATATGGTAAGGAGTTATTCTTTTAATAATTTTTAAAAAAAAACTCAATTTTTAAAAATATAATTAAAATATATAATTTTATCAGCTTTATTCTTATAAAATTAAAATTTTATTTAAAGAAATACATATATATATATAGAAGAAACAACAATTGTTTTATTTATTTGAATACATTCAAGAATAAAAATAAAAAATTTTATTGTTTAATGGAATATCACTGTTCTTTATTTATTTATTTTTTTTTTTTTTTTTGTAAATAGTTCTAAATTTAAGAATAATAATGTAGTTATATATACCATTATATATATATATATATACATATTTAACATAAATAAAAGATGCGTTCAATGAATTTTCAAAAGGTTAACAGTTTAAAATTGTAAGTTAATTTAAATAAGTTTTATTATTTAAATGAGCTTATATATATAATAATTAAAGTTCTAACTTTTTTTTTTAGCTTATTAGAATCTTAACTTATGAATTAATTTTTTTTAAAAAAAATGAATTATCTTTTTTTATCTAAAATTTATATATTATAAAAAGTTTACTTAAGGATTATAATATTTTACAATGTTAATTCACTTTAAATGTTCTGAATACACATTTATTTTTATAGAATAACCTCGCGGATAATTTATTTTAATAAAAATTAATATCATAAAAATATTTATATGTATTTTATTCTTCTAAAATATTTTCAAAATTATAAATTTGTAAGAATAAACTAATTCTGTTATTTAAAGATAATAAAAATTTTTTGGTTTAAATTAAAATTAATTTTTATGTAAATCACCTATTTTATATCTTTTCCTAAATAAAATAATGGGGTATATAAAAGTAATCAATTTAACATTAACTATCAAAAGAAAAATTTATATCTTAAAAAAAAAAAATTAAAGTTTATTAAAAAAAAAAAAAAAATAAAAAGAATATAAAGTAATAAAAAATTTCTTTTTATGCAATTTACATAAGCAAAATTAAATTTTTAATTTATTATTAGTTTTGAAGTAATAAATTTTTTTTGAATATTACTATCTTTGTTATCATTATTGATTTTATTTAATATGTTAAATACTTTTGTAAAATCTATTTTAAAAATTAGTATATAAATTTAAATATTTTTATAATTTTTTTTTTTTTTTTTCGAATTTTACTTAATAAAGATCATTTTAATATAATAAAGCTATTATGTTTTTTTTAAAAATTTAGAAAAAAAATTTCCCTTAAAAAAAAAAAGTTTATTAAATATTTTAACTAACATTTGGATGAACTCGGGAAGAAATGAAGTTACAATTTAGTAGAGAATTAATGTTATTGCTTTTCAAATAATTTTATAAAATTAATATAAAATTTGATTATTCTAAATTATGTATGTTGTCAAATATAAAGTTTAATTTTTTCAAGTTTTATGATAAATATTTAAAAAACTGGATTACAATTTAAAAAAATAATAATTTAAATTGTTACTAATTAGTTAAATAATTTATATTAAATCAGTTAAAATACAAGTTAAAATATATTACATTTTATTTAATATAATTTACATTTATATTTAGCTTTTTGATTATATTATAACTTTTCATACAAAAATATAAAAAGGAATATCAATTTTTGATAACATAAACACTTTTCAAAAAAAAAAAAAAAAAAAAAAAATGTCTACTTTTGATAGATTTAATATTCATGCTCAATTGGAACATCTGCAAAGCAAATACCAAGGATCTGGTCATTCTGATACTACTAGATGGTATTTTTAATATTAAGAAAATAATATAGAAAAAAAAAAAAAAAAAAAATTTTTGTAAAAATTAAATTTTTAAGAGAGAAAACATATATTTAAATAATATAAAGAATATTTTTTTACAATTACTTTTTAAAAAATTTAGGGAATGGTTAACGAATATTCATAGAGATACCTTGGCATCTCATGTTGGTCATTATTCAAGGTATTTTAAAATTAAATAATAAAAAAAAAAAAAAAGGAAAAAAAAAAGAATTGTTATTAAAATATTTTTTTTAACATTATTTTTTTTAAAATTATTTTTTTTAATATTATTTTTTTTAATATTATTTTTTTTAATATTATTTTTTTTTAGATTAGCATATTTTGCCATAGTAGAAAATGAGCCAATTGCTAAAATAAGATATCGATGTCTTCAGGTATAATATTATCATAAATTAAATTTCATTAAATTTTTCTTAATCTTTTTGTTCATTATTTTAATTTTTTTTTTTTTTTTTTTTTTTTTTTTTTATTTAGAATATATCTATTCCCGTTGTTCCTAAAGAAAGAAAAGAATTGAAAGAGTAGATTTACTTATAGCTAATCTAATTTTTTTTTATATGTTAATATGAATTATTTTAGTTTTATTTTTTAATATAAACTTTTTTTATACAGAACTTTTTTTTTGTATTATTAAATTATGTTTTTAAGTTTATTTATAAACATCAATAGTAAATTATAAATGAAAAAAATATTTATAAATATATTACTTTAAAAAAAATATACAAATACTATATTAAGTTATATAGCAACATATGCTGATATTTTTTGAGGTTCGTCGTCAAAATAAAGAAATAAATTTTTGTTTCTTCATATTATATTCTCATATTTGATAAACTTATTTCTTGAATTTTATAAATAATACATATTATAAAAAGTAAGTTTCAAAAGATAATTGGAAAAAAAAAATTTTTCAAGCATACTATATACAACATGCATAAAATTATTCAAATCAAATTTAATGAAGGTTATTGATACGATAACAACTAACTAAAGCATTTTTGTTTTATATTAATTCATAATTATATGGATAATTTAAGTAAAAAGAAAATATATATATATCTGATTTATTATTATTTTTTTTCTAATTTTTTTTTAATCATCCATTTAAATTTTTAAAAAAACAGTCAATATATTTTTAATATGAATTAAAAATTTAATATGATTTCATTTAATTGATAATGTAAACAATTAATAATAAAGAATATTTCTCATTTTTGAAATTTCTACTTAACTGTTTTTTTTTTTTTTTTTTTCTTTTATTTTTTTGTGTATGGAATTATAACGGAATCGAAAAATTAAAATTAAGCTCAATACTATGAAAAAAAAGAAAAAGTATTTTATTTTAATATTAATTTCTTTTTATATCAAACTAAGTTTTTTTTTTTTTTTTTAATATGTTACATAATAAAAAAGCTTCAGATAACGAATTAAGCCAAAAAAAAAAAAAATCAGGAGGAACAAATAGCAAAGAGATAAAAATAGAATCTTTAAAAGAAAATATTGCAAAAGAAGATACGTATAATATAGAAGAAAAGAAAAGAAAAGAAATATTAATGAAATGTGAAGAATTGCAAAAAAAAGAACTTGAAGCTTTAAAATTGATTTATGTGTTAAATGGAGAGTTGAATATAAAGAACGAAAATGATAAAGAAAAACATACCATAATACATATTCAATTAAATGATCAAAATATAAATGATAATATAATAAATTTAACTTTTGAATTACCAAAAGATTATCCTTTAAATTCTTTTTTAATAATTAATATATGTGTAAAAAATTTTTCTACTGATATGAATAACTATATAAATGATCAAATATATAAATATATTCAGAATTATTTTGAACAAGAGTGCATTCTACATATCATATACAAAGTTAATGAATTAGTTGAAAATATACAAAATAAAAAAGAAGTAATAGATAATAGCGATTCTTCATCGGATGAAAAAATAGGTAAAGACGATAAGAATTCACAAGAATTAATAAATAATATACCACTTTTATACTATAAGATGCCTTATTCTCATCAAAGTAGAATATTATCTAGAAGATTATGTTATTCTCATCATATTCTTAGTTTAATTAAAAGATCTTATATTCTCAAATGGGCAAAAGAATTAAATATAGGAGGATATTCTAAAATAGGATATCCTGGTATAATTATTTGTGAAGGACCTAAAGAAGAAGTAGATTTTTATATTAACAGCTTAAATAAATTGAGATGGAAACATTTTGATTGTAGAGGTATGGAAGATATAAAATTAAATGAATATGAAGACTTGGATGAAGCACGAGTTTTACCTAAATCCATGTATGAATTAGACTCTAAAGGAATGAGTACCTTATCAAATATATGTACAGAATGTGGATTAAGAGATCTATTTTTAACGAGTATGAAAATATATAATACAAATGGTAAGCATGTGAAAAGTGAAAAAAGTAAAAATCTAGACAAAAATAATGAGGAAAATTTGAAAATAAATAATAAAGGAAAAAAAAAAAAAAAAAAATAAAACATATTAATGTTGTGTAATTAGTTAAAAATACAAAAATATTTTTCAATTTTTTTTTTTTTTTAAATATGAAAATTTTATCTTAAAATTTTTCACTTTCTTTAAATTTTGTAGAAATAAAAAATTATGCGCATAATTGCATTCTTTTAATGTGTAGCAAAATATATATTTTTGTATATTTTTAAGTTCTTTTTTTTTTTTTTTTTTTTTTTTTTTTTCGTTATATACTGGATATTAATACTATATAAATATAATCTCCCTTTTATTTATATAAGAAATGATGTATTTTCGTCTAACCTATATGTGTAGTGTGATTATATTTTAAAATTATTTGTAAACATATTACATTTTATAAGTTTATTTCCCCAATTTTTTTTTTTTTTTTAGTTATATATCCTTTTGTTTTTTTTAATATATATTTAATTTAATATTCTTATAAAAACTGGAAGATATATTTGTATGAACTTAAGCAAAATGAAAAAAAGAAATCTTATTAATTCAACTTAATTTACATACATTGTTTTTGTAGATTGACATGAAAGTGCACTATGTTTTCTTTTGAAGCTTGAAAACAAGCTACTAGTTTATTATTTAATGTAATTTTATTCTTTTTTATTGATTAAAAAAAATAACTTCATTAATAACTAAATTACTTTATCTTCTTTTTTGTAATTTATGAATATAATGAGGAAATGCTTCTACAACTTTAATACATTTAAATTAATCTATTATTATGTTAAATTTGTGCTAAAAAAAAAAATAGATGCTTAGATATTATGTATATAATCTTGATAAGAAAGTTCACAGCGTACACAAAATTTTTTTTTTTTTTTTTTTTTGCCAAAAATAATAGAAATTAAAAATATATATATATTGTAATATAATTTATAGGAAATAAAATTCTTCTATTTTTTTCCAGAAATAATTGAATTTTTTGAACTTTTGTCCACCAAAAAAAAAAAAAAATATTAAATAATTATTTTATATTATTATTTTATTTTATTTTAAAATATCACTGAAATATGATTTTTCAATTTCTTTAAATAATATAATAGGTATAATCAATATAAAAAAAAAAAATAAAAAAATAACATGAATATTCTCCTAAATTTACATTTTTTCTATTCTTTGTCATGATTATCTTGTTCTAAATTTATTGAACTTAAAATTTAATACACACTTGTTTTTGTATATAAAATTTTCTTATTCTCCCTTTTTTTGTTATAAAAGTAGTTGGACATAACAACTCTTAAATCTACTTATTTTTTCTATTAATTATTTTAAATAAATATTTTATTATTTTCTATATTAATGTCAATCATAAATTTTTTTGTTTTTTTTATAAATTGTTTTTTATTTTTTTTTATTTTACTTTGTTTTAAAATATTAAAAAAAAAATGAGTTTTAATATTGACAGTACATATAAAAAAACTCAATTAAATAATAAAGCGGATGATTTATTTCTTAAAGGATTTTTAAAGGCAAATTTTTTAAATAAATTTGAAATAATATCAAAATATAATAGTGGACAAAATTGCCATACCAAAAATATAAATAATGAACACTTTGAACGTATTTCTAATGATTCTTGGTATGACACAAGTGTTTTAAAAAAAAAAAAAGATATTTATTTACTTTGTAGAGAAATAAAAAATAATAATTCTGAAGATTCTTATAAGAAAAATGAAATATCTAAAAGTAAATTAGATAGTACGAAATTAAATGATAGTAATATACCTAAAAATATATTAAAGCCAATTAATGATATAGCTTCAAACGAAAATGACAAAAAAAACATGTACGATTTACCATATGGTAGTCATTCATCATATAAACATACACCATCAGTTAAAATTAAAGACAAAAAATTACATAAAATAACAAAAATAAATAATTTAAAAAAAGAATATATAAAAAATTCAAGTTTCAAATTTAGTAACTATAAAATTTTCGAAAATAAAGAACTTGAAACAAGTAGTTGTAACTCTAATTTAAATAAATTAAAAAGTAACTTTACTGGATTCAAGAATAAAATAAAAAAAAAAAAAGAATTAAAAAATAATTTTTCAAAATATAAAAGGTCAAATTCCTCAAAAAATTATAGGGATTATAATTTATGTAATAAAAATGTAAAAAATTTTCTTGAAAAAGATGACTTAAATTCTCTAAAAATGAAAATGTTTGATCAAAATATTCACCATAAAAATGATAATTATTTAATGAATAATTTAAAAAAATATACTTACACAAATATCAATGAGTCTGATATACTAAAAGAAAATAAAAATGATGATACGAATGAAAAAATTCTTTTAGCACAAATAAAAAAAGAGGAATATTTTTCTTCTAGTAATACAAATAATATTTTAGAAAATGAAAATAAAAAATCTTCTGAACAAGGAATAAATTTTATGAATGAAATTGATGAAAAAATTTCACACACCGATGAAGAATTATCTAAAATTTATAAACCATTTAATCAAGAAACAAAAAAAAAAGATGTAAAAAAGAACATATATAATTTAGAAGAACAAAACATTTTATGCAACAAAATTCATAAAGAAAAAAAAATTATCGAAAATGAAAAAAAAATTGATTCATTATCAAAGAATTATATATTAAGTAAATATAGATTAAATAATGAAGAAATAAAAAAATCTTTAGGTAATTTATTTGGAAAAATAAACAGTAAAGAAAAGAAAGAATTATTACTAGAAAGTTCATTAACTAATTTGGGGTTATCAGATGGTAAAATATTAGAAAATTTGAGTAGGGATAATTCTAAATATATCAAATCAAACTTTGAAGTATCTAACAAGGTTTCAGAAGATAACGATGTGAAATTGTCATATTTATCAGCTCAAAAAGTGTATTATAAGACATCTATTAATACAGAAATATTTTTTACAGTTGATTTTAAAATATATAAACCTATACTTATGAAAAATGTAACACAATTATGTGTATATATGGATAATAAACTATTAAAAAATATTTATATAAATGAATTTCCACAAAGTTTTTCTCTTGTTCTTCAACCAAGAATAAAAATAAACAATGAAAAAATTTTTGTTAAGGTTAAAAATAAAATCATCAATATAAAAGAATCAAATGTATTAAAATTTATTTTTCTAAATAATGAAAAGGAAATAGGATATTCACATGTTAGTATCAAAAATTTATTATGTTTAGGACCTGAAGGAGGAGTTTTTGTATTAGTAGAAGATTATGAAAAAAGAATAAAAGAAGAAAATAAATTTATGCTTTCTCAAATTATTCCTTTTAATAAACAAGAAATAAACATTCTAAAGCCTAAAATATTTTTAAACTATAAAATAAAATGTCCAAAATTTCTTATAGATTCTATACCATTGTGTGATATAGTTACAACACGAGATAAAATAAGATATTTAGAAGATATGATTAGAGAAATATACAACTTTATACAAAATTCACCATTAATGAATTCTGTAAAAAATGGAAAACTACTAAATGTAATAAATGAGAAAAATTTGATGCATAAAAATATTGAAAATACAAATATATCAAATAACAAAAATTTAAATTTTATATGTAACAAATTAAAATGTAATGAAAAATGTAATATAGAAAAAAACCAAGAAGAAAAAAATAGTTATGAATTTTATAAAAATAAAAATAATTTACTATATGATGATCAACGAAATCAACCAAATAAATTAAAAAAATATCGTATATATTATAAAAAGGATGAAAATAATAAATGCAAAATGGATAAAATTACATACATAAATATTTCTCAAAAAAATAAGAACTCTCTTCCTAGAATTAACCAAAATAATACCAATACAAATTTTACTGTTGATTATAAAAATCAGGAATCTAATTATAATGCAAGCTGCCATTTAAATAATAATGAAAATAATATTATGAACTATGGTGAAAGTAGTAAAGAAAACAATTGTGAAAATTATAAAGGAAGAAATAATAATAATAATAGTATAAATTATAACGAAGACAATAGCAATAAAGATAATATTAGCAATAATAATATGAACTGCACAACTACTAATTTAATTAATAATAATATTTATGATATCCGTAATTCTATTTTAGAAAAAAATATGAATAATACAAAAATTGAATGTTTAAATAAAAACTTTGATAAATTTGTAAGTTTAGATAAATCATACAATTATCCATTGTATTTTGGTGAAAACAAAATTTATTCGAATATTGAAGATTCTAAAAGAGAGAGTAAAAATTTAAATGAAAATATCAAAGGTGATACTAATTTAACTGAAATCTTATTAGTAAATAGTAAACTAAATTGTGAATACGACAATATTAGTGAAGAAAAAACTACCAGTAAAAAATTTTTGAGAAAAAACGTAATAAACAGTAATTTAAATTTAAATTCTGAAAAAAGTGACTTAACAAATGATAAAACAGATGTATACGGTGATTTGATCAACAATGAAAAATTAACAGAGAATAAAAAAAATAATGATTTACCTAATAAACTAAAAAATAAAAATGATCTCGATTGTTTTCTGGAGAATATGGATACTAGCATAATTGATAATGAAAAGAATTTAAAAAAAAAAACATCTTATGAAGAAATTAGAAACGTTACGGATAATGAAGAAAATGAAGAACCTAGTGGAACAGTAGCAAAAAAAAAAAAAAAAAAAAAAATGGATGATATATATCATCAAAATGAAATAAATGAAACAAATAAAATTAATCAAAAATGTGATTTTGATATTGAAAAAGACAATAATTATAATTTGCATTTAGAATATTCTGATAATGAAAGTGTTGAAATACGTAATATAAATTTAGGCCGGAAAATTAGTGAAATTTCAAGTGGAAATAGCGTTTTTAAACTTGACAAAATTTCGGATTCATGTAAAAATAATAATCTCAAAAATATGAATAATCCTATAAAAACAAAAAAAAAAGAAATATATGTAAAAAAAAAAAGTCATTCAACTAAAAGAAGTGATCATAGTAAAGAAATATATAATGAGAGTAAAAAAAAAATTGAAGATTTAAATAATATAATTGAAGAGAATAAAAGAGAGCTAGAATTGAGAAAAATAGAAATAGAAAAGCTAAAGCATTCTAATAATAATATAAATATACTATATGGAGTATGTTATAGAAGATTGCTAGAAATTGAAAAAAATAAAAATGTAACTGAAGGTGATTTTTTATTTAAATTTAATGAAATAGACAACTGTAAATTAAAGGATACTTTGATATCGAATGGTAGTTTTAAAAAAAGTAAATATCCTACCTTATATAAAAGTAATTCATTTAAGGATATAGAAAATACCTCAAAAATCTTAAAAAAAAATAAAATGAAAAATAATTATATAGCATTATCAAAATCTCCTAGAAAAAATTCTGTTATAAAATTTGTAGAAGATCAACAAAACAACTTAAATATGAATGAACAGAAAAATGAAAAAGGAAAATTATATTTAGATTTGATAGATGAATTAATAATGAATACTAAATTTGATGATAAAGAAAAAAATCAGAAAATTAGAAATAACTTAAAAAAGTATATAAATTTAACTGATAAAAAAAAAGCACCTAAAAATGATATGGAAACAAATAATCATGAAAACAAAAAAAAGGAATTAAAGATTCTTCTAAAAGAAAATAAAATTTTAAAAAGAAAAATAAATAAATTAAAATTAAGTGATGAAGAATATTTAAATATTATACCATCATTTAAAGAAGAAACTTTATTGAATAATATGGAACATAAGAAAATAAATACTACTTCTCAGAATAAAAATGTAGAAAAAAATTACATTATCTTATTTTTAGATAAAAAACACAAAAAAAAATCTCCTATCGATATTGAAAAAAAAAATAGATATTATAATAGTACTAGATTTAATTTACCTATAGATTTAATTAATAACTATTTATGTGATACAACATCTGATAAAACTGATTTCGCGGGTAAAGATATGAATCATGAAGAGATAATAACAAAATGAAATAAAAATTTTCACAGAGTAAAAATTTACACATATATATATATATATTATGTTTTATTAATTAAAAAATAGACGAATTAGAAATGCAAACAGTTTCTGAAATGTAACAAAATTAAGAAAAATAACTTAATATATTAAACTTCATAGCATATCAAATTATTGGATAAATAAAATATTGAAAAAAAAAATTTTTTTTTAAATAATAATATTTTAAAAACTTAATTTGTTCATTTATTATTTAATTTATTTATTATATTAATCAAACAAAAACTTATAGTACATTTTAATTTAGATAAATATTATAGAGAAAAAAAAAAAAAAAGACATATTTATGCAATTTAAAAAAACATAGAAAAAGTCTGTAACCATATATTTAAAAAAATAAGAAAAATTATATGGAGTAGAAAGGTTAATAACTCTTTAAAATTTATAAATATAACATGTCTTTAATAAATGAAGAAAAATATAAAATTAAAAAAAGAAAATAAATATATCATTTTAAATAAATGAAAAAAAAATAATTGAGCACCTAGTTATAATTTTTTCTTTTTTTCAAAGAAATGTTGTGCATTATTAAACATCAAAATATATTTTTTTTTTTTTCCATTAAATATATAAGCAAAAAAAAAAAAAAAAAAATATACATTTCTATGATATATATTACGTAAGTTTTAATTTTGTCATTATTCCTCAGCGTTTTTACTTTATTGATTTTTGAATTTTTTATAATATTTCTGTTATAATGTATTTAGGTAGAATTCAAATATTCCTGAAGTGCAGCATAATTCGTAAATTAATTGCATAAAATGAGTAATGAATAAATAAAAAAAAATTTTAACTCTGATACAATATTATTTGTTTTTATTTATTTATTTTTTTTTTTTTTATGTAAATATCAAATTACTGAAAAAAAAAAAAAAAAAATACTTCTTAATTGAATAAAGATATAGTTTTAATAAAACGAAAAAAATGCTATTTTAAATATATACAACAAAAAAGTGTAAAAAATAAAAAATAATTTTATTTACAAATATTACTAATAAAATTATCCATACATGTAAAAATGCACTTATTTTTTATTAACTCCGAATTAAATCCATTAAAAAAAAAAAAAAAAAAATTAATCATAAAAAAAAGAAAAGGGATGAAATTAAAAGTATCTACTTCCTATTTGTGTTTCAAAAATTTATAGTATAATGCAATAATCCACAAAACTACATTATTTCATTTTTACTTTTCTTTTTTTTTTTTTAACCTTTTAATGATTATCCGTTATTTTAATTTTTTTTAATTGCACTACTTTTACTGCTTTTCCAAATATTTTCAGGTTGTGAAATCATTTATCTTGTAATTTTTATAATAAATTATATTAATGTAACTATAATTTTTTAGTTACAAAATTTTTTGTTATCAATAAAATGTCTATTTTTATAAATTTAATAATTTATTATGTTATATATACAACATATTCTATCTTTCTATTTTATGTTTATCCTATTTTTAATTAAAACATATATACATCCGTATGCCATTATATATATTTCTATCATTATTTTCTTACTTCTCATTATCTTTTTTAAAATACCAATAAACCTTTTATGTTTTTATTTATCCTTGTTAATTATATTATTCTTATTTGTTTTTATACTTTATTTTCATCTTATTTCATTATGATCTTTTTCCTCATCTCCAATTATCCAATCATTCTTTTCTTCATCATTCTTGTTTCCTTCATTATCTTTTTCATCATCATCTTCGTTTTCATCATCTTCATTTTCATCATCTTCATTTTCATCATTTTCGTTTTCATCATCTTCATTTTCATCATCTTCATTTTCATCATCTTCGTCTTCATCATCTTCGTCTTCATCATCTTCGTCTTCATTATCTTCGTCATCTTCATTTTCTTCCTCATCTGCATTGTCATCTTCATTATTATAATCTCCGTTGTAACCTTTATAATTACCTTTGTTTTTGTTTTCTTCTTTCCGTTTTTTGATATTTTTTATTAAAATCGTTTCTTTTTTATTATCATAATTATTAGGATTATTTTCTTCTAAACTTTTTTTTTCTAAGTATATTATGTCATCTTTTAAATTAATATCACCATCAGTAAAAGATAAGGATTTATCATCCTTTTCCAAATTTTTACCTAAGCCTTTCTCTAAGTATGACTTATATTTGAATATGTTTTGAGTATTAACATACTTTTCTTCTGAATTAATATTATAGTAATTTGCAACTTCATCACCAAAAAGCATGTCATTTTGAATTTCCCCATTACAAATAATATTTGTAAAATGAGAAAAAGAATTTTCATCTTGAAAGTATTCAGAGTATAAATGATTTCTTAATAATTCAAAACATACTTTCGTTAAGTGCTCTGTTGAACACTTAAATGTAAAAGACCAACCATTAATCAGTAAAGTTTTTTTCTTTTCTTTCATTTGAATTTCCATGTCACTATTTTCATTAGTATTATTATAGTTTGTAGTAATATCATCAGAAAGTTCACTTTTCATACTTTTTACTCTTATATCATCATCATTATTTTTTGGTGAAGTATGTTTATTATTATCTTCATTTCTCAATTCTTCATTATTATCTTTTACGATATTATTTGTATCACTTTTCTTTTCATTGGTATCAACATTCTTTTTATTTTTCTCTTTAGATAATTTTTTCTGATACTTTTTGTTTTTGACCATTTTAAATTCTATATCACCTAAATAATAAGACCATTGAGGTGATGTATCTTCAACATTATTAAAAAAATGAATAAACTTATCCCAACTTATTACAATTATTCCTTCAACACATTTATTGAAAATACCTACACTTGTTAAATAACCCTTAATCTTAGAACTAAATAAACAAAGTATTGATTTCACATTTATTTGACTATTATAAAATACTACAGATTTCCTAATAAGATTAATAGCATTGTTTAATATTGGTATTGAATTACAATTTTCATCAAAATGGAATCCAATAACTGGTTTTATTATATCGTCTTCCATCATTGTTACTGAATTTAAATTATCAACATGTGATTTTTCAATGTTTTTTTCTTGTAATACTGATTCATACAAAATATTCATATTATTTAAATAAAAGTTTAAAAAGCTTTTATATAAAAGTATATATGACCCTAAAATATCACGAATTGTATCTTTTTTCCATTCCATTAATTGAAAAAAAGTTTTTACACATTTATAAATTATTTCTAAATATTCATTTTGTATAACTAATAAATCTTTTACATTTTTCAAATATTTTCTCTGACATAACCATGAGCATTTTATCTTTTTAGAATCTTTGATTCCATCAGATCTAATTTTTTCTGAATTTGAATAACTATTTTCAAAATATTTCCAATAATTCTTACAAGTATCTAATTGTTTTAAAAAATCATTTTTTTTCTTTTTAAATACCTCTATTAAATTTTCTTGTTCTTTTATGTATGTTTCTTTTAATAAAGTTAATTTTTTCTGATATATTTTATTATCTATTAAATCACAACTTACTTTCATACTGCTTATAATTTTAATATAATTCATATAACCATACTTAATCCATTCATCAATTACATTATAATTTAAATTAGATTTATCTGAATTTATATCAATAATATTATCAACAATCTCGTTTATTTTATTTATTGAATTCCTTGAACTATTTCTATTTAAAAAATGAGAATTTTGTTTATTTAAATTATCAAGATATTCTACATTATTATTCTCTCTTTTATAAATATTTTTTTCCTCATCTTCATTGGTATCCTTTTGAATATTATCATATTTTAAAAAATAATTCCTTTTTTCTATATTATCCATATCATTATTTATTTCTTTTAAATTGTAGTTAAAAGGATTATTGTCACTAACACCTTCTTTTATTATATTAGTTCTACTATCATTTACTTTTGATTCATTTTTCTTATTGATATTAATCTGTTGGTTACTTAAATTATCTTCATTAGGAATATTTAAAAAGCTTTGAGTTAAATTATTTATTTTAGAATTACCATATGATACATTTTTGAAGTATGCTATATCATTTTTTAAAAATTCTTTAAAAAATTTATTTAAATTATTAATGTTATCTGATCCATGTTTTAAAACTTCTATCATTTTTTCAAATAATGTTTCAAGAAAATTTAAAAAATTAATGGTACAATTTTCTCTACTTTTATGATATTCAGTCATTTCTATAAAATAATATTTTTTATAGATTTCAAAAAAAATTTGTTTTTTTTCTCGTGAGTTGGCATCATCAACGAAAGAACTATTTTTCCTTTTATCTTTTTTTTTTTTTTTTATTTCATTTTTTTCTTCCTTCATATTATTTGTAACTTTAATTTTCTTTTTTTTTTCCTCTTTTATAGTATCCAAATTATCATTAACATCTTTATTTGTTTTATTATCCAATGTACTCAAATATGTTGTATCTTTACTTCCACTACTCATGATATTCGAATATTTTCCTTTAATTTCTTCTATCCACCCCTTTTTTGAAGAATTATTTTTACTATTTTCGTGCATTTCCATATTATGCAACACATAAAAAAAAATTAATTTATCAAATCAAATCAGCTTTTAAAAAAAGAATAATTGTAAAAAATAGGTAAAAAGAAATTTTAGGAACTAAAATTTAAAAAAGAATTAAATAAATTATTTTCAAACATTTAAAACATACGTATTTTTGAAAAAAAAAAAAAAAAAATTATTATATTTCCCTTCACAAAAAAAAAAAAAAATTAAAAGTGTTATATTCTTTTTAAATTGTAAAATTAATATTTTCCATTCATCTTTTCCTTTATGCTTAGTTATGCATTTTATGTGTATTTGCTAATTATACGGAAAAAAAATAGTTTAAAATTATTATGTATATACATACATATATATATATATGTTATTCCATTACAAAAAAAAAAAAAAAAAAAAAAAACTAAAAAATTTTAATTTTTATAAAAATTTATAAAATGTACTTAAATTTCTTTTCTTTTTTTTTTAAATAAAATCAATAAATTGTGGAAAGATGATAATCTTAATTTTTAACTTTTTTTTTTTTTTTTTGTGTTAGATAATTTAACAATAAAAGAAAAATATCTTTTTATAATAATAAAAAAAAAAAAAAAAAAATAATAAAATTAAAATGGTTTTAAATTACATTTTATATGTATCCTTTTTGTTGTAAATATTATATTATAAATTCTTCCTTTTAATAACATGGAGATTTACTTATTTTTAAAATATCTTTTTTTTTTTTTTTTTGTATTTTTTACATTTAAAATTTTTTATTAATTAAATTGTAGAAAGGCAAACGAATGATATGAAATAAAAAAAAATAAATAAAATAAATTCTATTAAAAAATTAAAGAATAAAATAAAATAATTTATGCTAAATTATATGTTTAATATCTTTTCTAATTAATATTAAAAAGGAAAATTTGAACAAATAAATATATAATATTTTAAGGTTTAGAATGTAAAATTTTGGTACACTTAATAATAAAATATGAATAATTATTTTGATAATTAATAATAAAGATAAATCAATTTAATTATAAAAAATAAAATATAGTAAGTTCTTTGAAAATATATAAAACTTTATTAAAAAAAATTAAGAAAAAAGAAAATAATATATATTGTAAGTAACTTAATTTATATTATATCAAATAATCAAAAAAATTAAATTCAAGATTTTAAATATATCCTTTTTTAAAGCCATAATCTATAAAGGAAAAAATAGCAGATGACAAAATAGAATAGCTTCCTAAAATTTTATAATTCGCTGAACTTTTATATATACATCCAGCTAAAAAACCTGATATAGTTGAATTATATACTTCTTCATTTTTTGTAAATAATTTTACTATATTATTTAATGCATAATATATCATTGTTAATGAAGCCATTTGATTGGCAACACTTGGTCCAATAACTGATGTAGAATTAAGAACTGAATTCAAAAAAAGTTTTCTTGTTTTACCCCCTTTCATAATACCTTTAATTAAACCACAACTTCCACCTAATAATAATCCTATATATTTAAAAAAAAAAAAAAAATACATATATATATATATATATATATATATAAAGATAGTTTTTTTTATTGTATTTTCTATATAAATATTTTTTAAATAAAATATTCTTTTATGTAATCATAACTATTATTTATCAAAATCTTATATTTTAATTCCCTTGTATATATCTTTTTATTTATATCTTTTATTATAATCCTTTTTATTTTTTTAAAGATTTTATATTTATAAACTTTCAATTTAAAAAAAAATATTCTAATTTTTTACCTGAACCATATGCTAAACCAACACTATAAACTAATTTCTCACCCCATTGTCTTCCATATCCTTGAAGATATAAATTCTGTTTATCAAATGATAATTTCTTCTCAGGTTTTTTTTTAAAAATTTCTAAATCATAATTAATGGATCCTGTTTTTAAATAATCACCCATTATACTTTTTTTAAAATAAATGACTCATTTATATTTTAATATAAATTTTTTTTTTTAATATATATATATATATATATTAATAATGAATTTTTAATTTTTCAAATTGTAAGAACTTTTGTTTTAATTGTAATTTTTTATGTAATGACATTACAGAAAAAAATTTAAATAAATTATGATTGTGACGTTTTTTTATAATTTTTCTGAAAATATTAAAAAAAAAAAAAAAAAAAAAATTTGAATTACATTTAACAAATTATGCGGTTCTATTTCTTTTTATGCGTAAGATAATATTTCCTTTTGTAATAGAAAATTTTTTCTGTTAAATTTATTTTATGCATATATTAAGAAAAAATATATGAGAAAATAAAAATTAAATAAATCACCAAAAAAAAAAAAAAAAATATTTTTATTCATAATTTTATTTTTTAAAAATAAATATCCTTAAAATATATTATTTTTTTTACATTAATTATATAATTATTGGATTACTTTGATATATAAATTTAAAAAAAAAATTATTATTTAAAATTATTTTTACTTTTTATACATAAAATTAAATATCAGTGAATTTTATATCAAGTAACACTTTTTTTTTTTTTTTTTTTTTTTTTTTACAATACAATTAAAATTAATTTGT